ACAATCACAAATAATGTAAACTGGATTTGAATCATTGAATCACTGCTTTGAAAACTACATTACCATACTTCCTTTAGAAATAATAACAATAATAATAATAAAAAAAAAAAAATTAAAAAAAAAATCCCATTCTCCTGAGGTAAAAAGATTCACCTCTCTGGTAATACTAATGCTGTGAAGGAGAAGTGAGGAGGAACATTACGGCTAACCTCGGCTCACTGTCGTTAAAGCTGTGGTCGTGACAGTTATTGTGAAAGGTTGGTAGACGAATGAATCTAGTCAATGGAGGTTTCCTTCATAGAAGATATAAATGTAGCCTACAAAGCAGTGTGTGTGTGTGTGCGTGCGTGTGTGCGTGTGTGTGTGTGTGTGTGTGTAGAGACGTATAGACGTATATGTCTGTACATGTGCAGAGTATGTGGGTGTATTTGTGAATAGCAGAACATAAATAATAGAACACAAGGGTTTTGTTATTAAAGTGGCCTTTTATTGCTTAATAGCTTTTGTTAAATGCTTGCTTTGGATCCATTCAGTATCGTCTCTTTCCATGCCTTGTTTTTGCCCCCATTTTTAGCTCGCCCAGATTTAGCTCAGTTTCATCCTCTAATCCTTCTGTTTTGTTAGTGACACTGGGAGAACAGCCTGGGCTGTGTGGCTCAGCCCCGCCTGTCAAAGCCTATAACATCTCTCACCAGGATCAGGTTATTGCCTGAGCTCTGTGTATCTTTATATTGAATTGCTTGTGATAGGAGGCTCCGGTGTTGTGGTGTGTGTGTGTGTGTGTGTGTGTGTGTGCGTGTGTGTGTGTGTGCGTGTGTGTGTGTGTGTGCATGTGCGTGTGCATGTGCGTGTGTGTGCGTGTGTGTGTGTGTGAGTGTGTGTGTGTGTGTGTGTGTGTGTGTGTGTGTGTGTGTGCGTGCGTGCGCACGCGCCTCTGCACATGTTTGTGTGTGTATTTATTATACATGGATGAGGTGGCTCTGAATAAGTGAATGGGACACACAAGAGTGGATACAACAATTGTCTTTTCTGACCTCAAATTTCAATATTGTCCCCACATGTCTTTTCCCACCCACCCAGTCACCCCCATCCCCCCCCAACCCACCCACCACCATGTTCTCTGCTCTGCTCTCCATTCGTCCATCACCACAGTGGGGTGATAGATGAGCTGGTGGAGACGGTGTGAACGTTAAAGTTTGTGGGCTGTGGATGGACAGCTCGGCATGAATATCAGTGGCACAGAGTAAGCGCTGGGAATTGGATGAGCGAGAGCGAGGGAGGTGTCAGCACTTTCCCTCCCATGCATTTTCACTCGGCTAGATTGAGTCTCATTATCTGACCCTGCTCCTCTTCCCTCAGTGACCTAATAATATTGTTTCAGCGATCCTGTCCAGCCTCTGACCTCATGACTTCACACAGGAATCTGTTAGATGGAGAGTTCCACTTTCCCATAGAAGTCTGGTACTTTTTTTTTAAATTTTTTTATTTTTTTAGCTTTTTGCTTCTTCCTTGCACACTAGCAGCAACTTAATGATATATATTTTTACTGTCAATTGAATTAGCATTACTCATCTATCAGTTACATCCCTGTGTCTAATGCAGTTTATTAGTCTGATGAGGATTTTCTCTAATGCAGATCCTCTCACAGTTGCTCAGTAAGCCTCTTCGTGTTGTATTTTACCTAGACAAAGATATGTATAAGATCTCATCAACAAGAACTCATTTGATTGGTCGACAGTGTTTGTTTGTTATTAAAAGCAGAATCAAAGTCACAATATCAGTGAATTAACATGGTTATATAGGAGCTTGTTAGGCAGCTGAGGTAAATGGGGGAGATTTGGGAAATAATCCCTCCTCAATCTGGACACCACAGCTGGCTGTCTCAAGCCTCTCCATCCATCCTGACACATACACACAAATTTTCACAAACACACAAACACATGCCCAGCTCTGAACTCCATGTTGCTGCCAACAGGGACACAGGGATGGGAATTGAAGGGGAACAGCAAAGAGTGTGTCGGTGTGTTTAATTGGGTTTTTCCAAATCCGTCTTAACCATGACACATGTACCTTCCACATGCTCTGGCATCACTTGGTTCACAGGTCACCCACCCAGAGGCAGCAACTTGAGAATCTCATCTTGCAAACTTGCCAGCAGTGGGACAAGGTTCATGTCCCTATTCAGACTTCAACACTGTGACAGACTTTTGAAGAAAGTGCTGCTGAAGGGGATTAAGCAACTATCTATGCTGTCAGACTTTTGAAAGTCCTCTTATCTCTGTTTGCTACTGTTATTTTAGTGATGCCTGTAATTGTCATTTCTGGTTTCTGGTGATGCATGCTCTTAGTCTGCGGCTGCCTGTTAAATCTCCTTCTCCTGTGGTCGACTGGTAGCCAGATCGGCCAGGAAAGAAAAAAAAAAAAAACATGCTGTCCTTGTCTACAGATTTAGAACCCAGAAGCATTGCTGATATGGCAGCTGCACTGTGGCAGGCAACAGAAGCCGGGGCTCCAATCAGATCATCAGGTCAGATGGCTGTAGTTAATGCAGAGGCTCAGAGTGTGGATGCAATACTCTCCAGCTCAATGCTCAAAGACAATTTTTCAGGTCTTTGTCAAAGCCCTCAGAAGTCTTGAAGGGTTAGTGAGGCACCTTTTTCATTAAATTAACCGCTTCCTAAGAACTGTGGGCGCTGAACTAGTTAAATCCTCTTCTTGGTGTGAATCACATATTGGGCGGTGAATATCTCTGCCTGTCTAAACCGTTAGCTACTGACTCCAATATGTCATATTCATTTTGTAATTAAGCTTTTTTTCTTTGGTCTTTATTTTGACAAGTGACAGAATCTGAGCTGCCACATTGCTTATGGCAATCCAGATGATTTAAGCACACCCCCTACTCCCCTACCCCTTGTACCTTCCTTACAAATAGTTTACACACCCACAGGCATACGCAGGAACTCAAACACACACAAAAACATATTGCATGCAGTCTCACTCCTACTCCACTTTTCTGAATCAATCTCCTGGAAGTGACCCTATCTTTCCCTCTTCCACGTATTGTGTTGCTTTCCACCGTAGCGCTTATTGCTTTCTTTGATTAATCTTCCTCGTTGCCTTCCCTGCCGCACTGGTCTGAGTCAGTAGACTTCCTGTTGGTTTTCAAAACAACTCTTCCTTCCTCCCATCTCCCCCCTTCCCCTGCTCCTCCCTCGTCTTCTATTCATCACTCCGCAGCCCATTTTACAGTATCTTTCTGTCTCCTTCCTCCATCCGTTTCTCTCGCTCCATTACCTTGCTCGTTCGTGTCCCCTTCATCTCACCCTCTGCCTGTCCAACCTCCTGACATGAATTCTTTTTACCCTCTTACTGTATCTCCCTCCTCTTCCCTGCATTTCCCCTCTTGCCATTCATCTTCAGGTCCTCTGTCCATCTCCCCCCCTCCCTCCCTCACCACCTCTCTGTCAGGCCGCAGCTCTCTCCCTCCTCTTCCTTCGTCTGGCAGTGGAGCGCCTCCACTCTTGCTGACAGTGCTGTTTGTGTGAACTGAGTGCTGAGCTTCACAGCCCCCTCGCCTCCCATTGCCTCTCCACCTCATCCTCCACCTCCCTCCCTTCTTTCCTCCTGCCTCCCACCTACATACCGCTCCAGGCGGGGGAATTAACCTTCCAGCCCTGGGCTGCTGGGCTTAATGACTGTCTGTGGGGCCGGCTACGACTACACAACCCAGCTGCTAACATCTGGGCCACACACACCCGCTTGCACCGCCTGTACACACACACACACGCACACACTACACACAGAACGGATAGTGGACACTGGCACTGTGCAGTATGCAGTATGCACAACATAAGGTTACAGTCCATGAATTTGTGCCACTATGAGGCTGTGTGTCATTATCATTCTTTCTTTATTGCCTACTGCTCAAATGTGGGAGTCTCTCAGCACTATTCTCACAGACAGTGGTTGGTCTATCATTACTGCATGGCTGACCCATAGTGTAACAACAGATGCAGCAGTACAACTGCTTTTGTGTTTATACTGAGCAAATAGCTCATACATATAGTCAACACAGAGCTGCACAGCACAAGCATGGACCATCAGCAGATCAAATGAAAAATACATGTATGTGGAAAATAAACATGACCTTTAAGTTGTCTTGCTAGAACAGCTTTCAGCATGTTCCATTGAGCAAATGGTGGTATTCTCCAGCCACCGTTCAGTTGGAAGTATATAATTGACAAAAGGGTTGTGGGAAGGGAGGGAGAAGGCAGTGTTCAGGAAAAAAAAAAAACACTCCAAGGTTAAAAGTGAATTCTTTGGCCTGTCTCTGTCTCCATCTCTGCAGCAGAGCAGATCACCCCAGGAGTAGCCAGTATAGGAAATACAGTAATGTGGATACTCTATTCCATTCATTATGTATGAGCATAAATGTTACAAACTAGCAGCTGTGAAGACATCCATGTTGCATCTGTATCTGTGAGGGCTGCTCAGCTCCTTCCAAACCAGCACAGTGAAATGCTAAATAATGGGATCCATGAGTACTCCCACAGAAAGGCAGAATAGAGAGAAACTAAAGGCATGTTCCTCCGATTTTATTACTGGCTCACTGCAACTTTATCAAGATTTTATAGTTATTTATTAGATTCCACCGAAACAAAAGGTCCTACAACTTTTAAAATCAGTTTTTTGTTGTTTGGCCTCAAAAGCATTAAAAATCCATTGAATCCTTGGGGCGGCCATGACATTGTTATTGTTTTTTTTTTTTTTTTGACACCTATTTTGTTTTTCAGGTGACCCCCGTGTAACCACCTCCAACAGCACTAACTCATAAACACACCTTCCTTCATTCTTCAGTCTGTGCTACTGCCTCTCCCCATCTCTTTATCTGTTTGTCTCAGTCTTAGACTAAGGAGTGAGAGAAGGGGGAGTCCCATTGGCATTCTTTAACATCTCCGTGGCTCACTCGTGTTCAGAGAACCATCTGTAGATCAGGAAGACAAAAAGACGCTCCTGAGCCTTGGCGTCACTCAACAGGTAAGCACAGCTCTCTTTCTCTCATGCAAATCCACACACCTATTCAAAGATTCTTGGCTTTTTTAAGAGTGGAGGTACGCCCTTTCTGTGTGTGTGTGTGCATGTGTGTGTGTGTGTGTGCGCCTACCTTCCTCACTCTCTTTCTCTCTGTGCACCCTAGGCAGGCAGATGTGCTTGAGTTGGTGGAGGTTGAAAGATGTTTTTTGCCTCTCTGTCTCTCAACTTTTTCCTGGGGAGAGCGGGTTTGTGAATGTGTGTAGCGAAGTCGGAGTAATCCAGTAAACTTGAACACTTTGAGCTGAAGGGAGCGCAGACAAAGCACACACGAACGTCTAACTCTCTTTGAGCGCCTCGAAGTTGGTGCTGGACATGTCCATTGTCAAGCTGCTGCTTGAACTGCTGGACCACGCTGATATGATTTAACCTGTCTTCCCTGGAGGCTGAGGTCTGTCCGGCCTGTGTTTAGCACGGCAAGTCAGATCTTAATCAGACTGCTTCAAGAACGGCATGTTTAAACACACAATCGGTGATTTGGATGCGATTAGATTTTTCTGATGATAATCTAATCTGCATCTTTAAGAAACCTTCTTTATCTGCAGTTCAGTGTTAAAGCAGTAATGGTTCACAACGCTGCCTCTATAATCTACAGTAATTGGACCCACAGGAAAGTGGAGAGATTGGTAAGAGGTTAGGTTGGTATTAAGATGTAGGACGACATGTGAATTGGGGGGCTGCGTGGTGGTTGAAACTTCATTTTCTGCACATTGACTGATTTCATGGGGTTTCACATTAAATTGGTCTAGGATTGAGTGTATTGAGTCGTTTGATGATTTTATGAAAGACGCCATTAAAAATCTACCTGTTGGGGTCACGCTGAATGGTTCAGCTACCTCTAATGCCCTTTGCAGGGAGAGTGGCAGCCTTGTCCCTGAAAGCGAATCAAATTTCAAATCAAACTTTCTCATTTGCATTTGTAAGAAGCTGCTGAAGAACAAGGTAAAGAAAAAAAATTTAAAAGACTGTGCTGTAGTAAAATATGGGTCTTTCTTAAATTTGAGAATGGATTAAATTGCCATTCAGTCTTGTATTTATCCAATGTCACAGTTATTCCCAGATTTTTCATACATTGAATATAAACATGTATCTGTGAATTGACATTCTTACAACTGGCTGTATTTTTAAAGCAATTAAGGCAGTTGTTTGACTAGGTAATGGGAATGTGGGGAGGTCAGGCCGGCTGTATCTGCTTTCATTAAGAGTCCGAATGAAAATGATGACTCATGAGGTCAGCAGCAACTTCTCTGTGTTGGCCAAACACTTCTCTTCCTCACACAGGATAAATGTTGTTTGAACTCCAAATCCCAAATTCTGTCCTTTGTCATCATCCTGCAGGCAAATGACAGAAATCCAGTTCTTCTTATCGAGAGATGGATAAATTTAAATTCCAATGCATATGAGAAGAAATGTTAATATTAGGCAGGGTATAATGACTGTGTTTGTGTTTACCTACACGATGCATTAAAAGAGACAGGGATAAAGAGAAGACGGGAACTCTTAACCTCAGAAAGAGAATTTCTATTCATTGAAGAGGGAAGTAATTGCCCTTGTGTGTTCAAAGAGTATGCTGGGGGCTCTGAAATACACAAATGTTTTGAGAGTGAAAAAATAATTGAGTGTGAGTTAATTCTTATCAAAGCCTGTTGGAGTGCAACTAATCGACTGAGGGGAGATGCGTCAAAGAGCTGTTGCCTTCAATTCATTTTGTCTATTCAGATGAGAAAATATTTAGTTTTCAATTAAGTAAATCACTATTATTTGTTCCACTCCTCCAGCAGATAAATTGAAGTGATTACAAACTGACTTGAAATCCACAGAGGGCTCTTCCTGGTCAAATAAGGGAGAGTGTTGGATGCAGTGGGCACAGACCCACAGCACTGCCTACAGTCTTAATTCCAAACAGTTCTTTTCTCAACATTCACAATGAAAACATGCCCTGATCCTGACAGTATCACACTAACATACTCTCCTTATGTGCATTCAGAAAACAAATACATAGTTGTAATTGAGAGGGATTTTGACCCAATTTTCTTACATGTTTGAACCTATTTATTCACCAATTCCTCATCTCTAAACAGCAAAATAGGTCGTCTAACCCTAACCCATACAAGCCATATATTCTCTGATCTCCCATGCTTAATATTAAGGTATTATTTACATTAGTCAACCAGCAAACTATTATCATCACAAATAAATATACTGTCATGGTATTGTACGGTCAGGCAACTAAAACGGAGGCAAAGTTGTCTGTTAGCCCTTTTTAAGGACGTACAAGAGATATATGTTGTATATACTGTCTCTGCTTTGTTCTTCACTCCCTCAGCTGATCATATAAGAGAAGCCTGAAGAAATGCAGAAAGAAGCCACAGAGGTCTTTGTAACAACTAATGACAAATTCAGATGTACATTTTTGAGAGAACTGAGCTAACACTAGTTCAACTAGCTACAGAGTTCCTCTGTATGTACGTCCCATCTAAAACACAAACTACCAAAACTGATTTTGTAACCATTAAGATTGTGATTAGACTGTCACAGAGACCTTTTAACACGCCTTATGGCTTTTTAAAGTTATGTTTTGATTGCATGCTGATGCAGGATTGATGGACTGATTGACTGACTGATTGATTTTAAAAAGTCTGCTTTGAAATCAGATGCAAAATTGAACAGTATATAATATTGCAAACAACCTACGGTATGTCAGAAAATCAAAATTTGAAAATAAACAAGAAACATAAAAAGAACATTTTTGAATCGATAGCTTCATGTACTACACTGCAACACTGGACTTAATACAGATGCATCTGAAAAGCATATGCCTATACTATAGTCGTATTGTAGGGGGTGTGGTGTTTATGTTGACGCGTATTGCATGTGTTTTTTTTTTCTTCCTTGTTCCAGGATTGCCGCAGGTCAGGTGTCAGTGGTGACATGGACTTCTTGTCAGCATGGATTGTGTCTCCTTCAGCACTACCCTTTCTCTGTCTCATCTGGGGTAAGAGGATCAAATGTCACATGGACCTATCATTACAGTAACTGTAGCCTTTTCAAGTCTCATTCATGTTGAGGTCATTCAGCTGAGCAGTTCAACCTTAATGTTATTGAAGGCTAAAATTAATTTTCAGTAAAGCATAATAGCTTTAATAGGTTTACAGTGATGGATGTGCTGTAAATATAAGTCAGTTAAATGCACCCGGTTAATCTCATACTGATCTCTTAATCTTATACTGTGAAAATCGCGTTTAAGGTACTGAACTGCCTTACTGTAGCATCTACATATGAATCTGTTTTCATGTTTGTTTTCTCAGCATCTGTGCAAATCAGACATCAGCTAGCAAATCAAGGTGCTGAACAGGACCAACTGTTCACATCATCGCTGTTTCCGTCCTCTGCTGTTATTGCTTAGTCAAATAGGAAACCAGCAGCTGCAATCTTTTTCACCCACTTTTGTTGCGTGAGCATTCTTCCTATGAACAGGACCTCAGGTAGAAAGGAACATTTTGTTAATTGGTTTATTCGTGGCGAAGTGGAAACTCAAGGTTTCTTAGGGTATTAGTGTTTCACGCAAATAACATGCTCTGAATACCGCCTCAGCTGTAGTATTGCCAGTAGGGTTACTCCAATGCAACCATTGTGACTGTTCTAACGGGGTTGTTGTTTCGTACAGTTTAACTCAAGGTGAATCTGTCCAAGGAGAGTGGGAGTGTAGCGGACACCTATTTTCACCTATTAGTAGTTATATAGAAAATAAGTAACACCAACATAATTTCACTTCTGCTACTGAGTACTATGCTCACTGTATTTCCTCACTAGTTTCCATGGTGATTACTGCAATAATTTCTAGTTCAGAAAACTTAAGTTATCTGACAATGCAGTGGAAAACACGATACTAATATACTACCTTATGACTGGGGAGAAGGATTTAGCAATAAACAAACCTTTTCTTCAAAAGACATCTTTACTGGTATATGATGGTATATGAGGTGGCTGCTGTAGTAAGTGGCAAAGTGGTAAAAGATTGTCTGGAAAGAATCTGCTACTCTTAAATAACATATTTATATTAAAAAGTGAATGTGGAAATAAGAATTGAGAAGCAAAGTGCATACTAATTGTAGGCATCCACTCCTGAATAAGGAATGGTGATCAATATTTCACGGCAGATATTTGACATGCAATAGCAGGAAAGCGCAGGTGTAATTAATAACATGAATTAATGATGGCTGCAGTCCATTTAGTTCCAACACCATGGTATCGTATATGCGTGCTTTCTGGCATGGCTTACTCGGGCACTCAAATGCGTCATTATTACCTACACTTGTGCAGGTGAAAATGTGAATCAGTCACTTCATATAGGCCTGTTTCCCCTCTTCCTTTAAAGCTGTAGTAATTTGTATTTTTATGTCAATACTGGGTCAAAAATGCTCACTGTGACAAACTTACAAAGGCTTTCCACCTGTCTCCGAAATTCACCTTAGTCTTATAGAGCGTTTTAAGCATCTTTTACTATAGTTCATTATTTTGGTTTTATGCCTGCTTTACTGTTTTGGTTTAGTATCACTGCTGTCATCAACCTCATTTCCAGGTTTCCAGTTGCAGAAGGCAGCTGCTGTCAGCGAAAAATAAGAAATAAAAATAAATCCCTTCCCAGCACCTAAAGACACACAGAAAATCAGTGACTTATTGTAACATTTAGCAGCTAAAGAGCAACTTTTTCCCCCAGGAGTTGGTGGAGTCCAAAACAGAGCAAAACGAAGAGTGAATATTGGACTTACATCTGCTCCAGAAACATTACTCCAAATGAATACTAATGTTGTTCCGTGTTTGCTGGACGTGCAGGGCAATTGCCTGTTAAAACATTCGCTATATCAAATTTAGAGGGTGATTATATTATAAGTCAGTGTTGTGTTTACAGTTTGTTCTGCTGCCCCCGAAATGGCCAAAAAATAATGAATATTAATAGCTGAACACCATGGTCGCAAGTGGCAGAAATACAGGATGATGGCCGTTGATGTTAATGGAACATTGAAATCCCAACTGACTCAGTTGGTCCAAAGACATAGACATTATCATTAGGCAGCCTGACTGAGATTTAAGAGAGTGGTGGATTCAGACCTCAAGCAAGAAATAGCAAACATTATTAACTTGTTTAATTTAGTGATTAAACCATTAAAATGTTTATCTGTGATATGCTAAAATGCTGCATAACAGTAGCAGAAGTAGAGAAGAGTCATTAAGTAAAACTGACCCAGTAATACCAGTTACACAACAGAATCTAAAGTTTGCTAACATTAGCTAACCATAGGCACCATAAGCTACTAGGTAGGCTAAAACTGTAGCGGCAAAACACCTGAATGTAATGAGTAAGGGTTCGATTTACTGATTAGGAATTCAACTGGTTAAAAGAGCAAGATTGTGTTATTTCATCATCGAAAAGTTTAATACTCTCACTCACTTTCAGACATGAAAAGTCTTATCACATTATATTTTAATATGGCATTTAGTATTTCTGTATCTCAGAATAATACAGCATAATCCTATTTTAGCAGCCACTATAGATCACTGTTGAGTATTCATTTATGTAAACTGTATGCAAATGTGCTCCAGTGTTTGGTTGTTTGTATGCATCCTCTGTAATGGCCAATCTTGCCCTTCATATTTGACGTGAGGTGACTGGTTCAGCCTTGATCCGAGAGCTCTGCCTCTCACTCATGTTGTCAGACACAACAGAGCATACACTTCACAAACAACTTGGTCATTGCTTCAATGAAGGTCAAGATTCAAACAGCCTTGCTGAATCAGGCTTGCTTCTCTGTGGGGCATTGTTTAAATGAGATTCACACTTAGATATTAGGCACTAATTGGAGTATGCAGTTGCATTTGGCTCCTTGAACTGAATTTATTCATAAACCCCTATGTATAATAATCATATAATCCTAGCCCCAGTGTTAGAAGCTCATAGGTGGTCTGCTGTAAGGTTACCTTCCCGACTCAAGCGCTTCGCACCACAGAATGTCACCTAAGAGCCTGGCTGAAGGATGGCCAACCCCACCTATGACAAACAAGGGGGATTAAAGTGATAATCATTACTCTTCCCAGGAGGAATTAGCTGGTAGGACATCGACATTGAAGAAAAACCGCAGGTGAAAGAGGTCTCTGATACCCCATGCTTTTTTCCTCCCAGTACCCTATCTGCATAGCCGAGGGGGGATTTAATTCACAGTAATTACTTTATTGACTCATTTCAGGGCCGTATCACTGCAGTTTCCCATCAATAAAACATATGCCAGGATGAATAATGTGGCCAGACACAATGGGGTGCCTTCTCAGACAAAAGACACAAGACTGCATCCCTGTGGTGTATGTTTATGTCATGCTCCCTCTACTCCTTTTATTTCCTCTCTAACACTCCTCACACATATCCACCTCTTGTTCCTGTCCACCTCTTTACATTAAATCCAATCACATCCTTTTCCTGCTCTATGATTCCACTCCAGCTGCTTTCCTCCTTCTCCTTTTATGTCTCCAGGCACGCAGGCCCAGCAGGCCTTCAGGACTGAGCCCAGGAACCTCACTGTGCGGATGGGAGCCACAGCTGTGTTGAGGTGTGAGGTGCTGCGGGCCTCAGGGACTGTGCAGTGGGTGAAAGATGGCCTCCTCCTGGGACCACAGAGAAGCCTGCCAGGCTTTCCACGCTACAGCATGATTGGAAACCCCAAGAGAGGTAAACAGGGATACTCACAGAATATGGTCTATGGCCAGGCAGTTTATGGGTCTGGTAAAGAATAAAAAAAAAATGTCATAAAAACAATCAACTCAGAAGATCCAGTTGAGTGGAAAAAGATAAATAACGCCAGTCAAGAAGCTGTGTAGGCCAGAGCATGAAAGGGTAACTGAAAGTATGGTGTATCAAAGAAAATAACACAATAACAGATGGCAGTATTAAATTAATCCTATACACTTTATTTTATTATTTTTTTATCCTATATATATTATTTATTTTCTTGTGACATATTTCATATGCTTTTAATTATAAGTGCGGCTGACAGTTCAGGAAGCATCCAACAGTCCATCTTGATGTTGGCTACTCTAAAAGTAAATGAGATGATGTTGTTGCTATGGCTTCAAAGTGCTGTAATAAAGCAACACAGACATTACAGGAACCTTATGGCACACATGCTCTCTATACGGGAAGCATCTGGGACGGAGGAGGTGATGTGATTGTCAACAGCCTCTCACACATCCCACTGTCACTCACATATAAAGACAAAAAAAAAAAAGAAATTAAAGCAACAGAGTGTCAGCAAATCAGTGAAATGTGGCAGGAAATAAAATGTGTTGCAGAATCTGCACCACAGTCTATAAAAAGTAATAGCCAATTAGAAGGCAATCCCGAGTAAGAGAAGAGCATCTGTTCATGATCAGCCCGCAACTAGACAAGCCGCACTTCACTGTTGCACAGTGTCGGAGACTGCCAGTGACACACGAACACTGAGAGATGCATAGATGCCCATGCCCACACTGCTCATTCTTATTAATGCTGAGAGTTAATATATAGAAACTAAAGTATTGTTTGTCAGCTGATTAGTTGTCAGTGAGCAAATTACAATAAGCATTATAGCAGGTACAGGATTGGAAAAAAAAAAAATCTTGCATCTTTTAACATCAGTAACAAAAAAATCAGAACATGTACACACGAACCACAAACACACACCAGCTTTTCAAACACTCAAGAACACACTCAGGGATAAAATATCCAGGAAAAGAAACAGCAAACTGCAGACTGATGTATGCAATCACTTAACACTGCACAGAAATAGCTAAATCATTTAAGATGACACTTGACTGCACTTGTTACTCCACCAGTTTTCCACTGATTGTCACCATCAGCGATATTTATTGATGCTTAAAAAAGCCTGAAATCACACATACACACGCACAGGAGACGCCATTACTGATTTCAACATATACTTACAGTAGATGTAGCACCCTTGGTTTCCCTAAGCTGCTGCAGTAATGTAAATGTGTATCGACATGAGAGTAGATGTAGAATTTCAAGCATTTGTAAAGACAAACACACACAGAACAGTAGAAAAAACAGCTTCAAGGCACCAATAAGGGAGTTTTTCTTAATTTATTTATAGTGATTGATCCACCAGGTATAATTCAGTTGTAGTACATGGCATGGAGCCAGTAAATCGGGCAAAACGTAATTATGAATGAACATTCATGAAGACAATGTTCACATGACATCATATATACTGCAACTATCTTAGCTTTCTTAACTAATATCAAATATGTATATAGTGATAAACCATAGTCACACATGAATATTATCTCAGCCATTTGCTGGGATTTCTTCTATGTGTTATGTTGGCAACACTAGAATGTTTTTGCAAATTAGATTTTTATTAATAAATCGTCTAAGCCTTGGAAAAGTATTTAATTATTCTTTACCCTTAATTTAATACTGAACAGAGCCAGAAAAAGATGTGCTAAAGACCCCTCACCTGGGTCACACCTGTCAAGCTGTGTGAATACTTTTGCAATTTTTTTTTCTTTTTTTTTTTTTAGAAATAATGAAGCCTTCGTAGAGCATACTTTATATTGAATCAGTTTATACCAGTTATAATGACGTAGCACTAAACATATGACGATATAATGTACAGTAAGATAATACCCGGTTTTCAAGTTACAAAACACAACCGACACTGGTTAGTTTTCACTTTCCCTTTCCATTAGGATTGACCTTTCCCAAATAGCCTATGTAACAATATGTATTCTCAGCTTTAAGGACAAAACACTAATTCAGATTTGCAGAGAGGAGAACATACTCTGCTGCAGACATAATGACTATGTAGATATACTGTATCCCAAAATTTTGAAATAAATACAGGGTAATGGACAAGTAAGCAAATCACGTTGCAGCCATCCGCCATCTCCCCTACCATAAATACACACTCTGCAACTTGATTGCACTATTTGTGAGTAATTTCAGGAAAGAGGAATATGATTAATAACTTCAATGTCTCTCTCTCTGTGCGCTCAATGATAACTTGGATGTGAAAATTGCTTCTGGTTGGTGTTAATTATCTTGCCAGCTTACTTGACACATGCATTTTTAGGCCTGGGTGGTTGTCAGACCAAGATACTATTTTGCACATGTTAGTAGGCTGTGAGCCAGAGAATCAGGAGCTGGAAAACCAACACTGAACATCATCTAATCCCCACAGGTTATGGCAATGCATCAAACAAATCAAGCCCTGTTGGCAGGGCCCATCTCAGAAGAGAGATACAGAGAGAAGGACTCTGCCTGGCATCAATTAATAGACAGTTTATTCAGTCTGCGTTGTGAATCCGCGATTGGATTTCATTTACCATACTGGAAATTCATACTGAAACAAAATGTGTCTGCTATGAGTGTAGACAACCACTTGCATGTCAGTGAAAATGCCTGCAGCAGGAGGTTCTCAGCAAGTGAGATGTTTTCATTCCACAGAAATAAGAAAATACAGTCTATTTTTAACCAAATCAAACACACAAACATTAGTAGTAGAGTATATTACTGTACTGAATCAAAATGCCAGGTTGTCAATATACAAATTGCTTTGATTGTTAATTTTCCCATTTCCAAAGTTGAAAATAGCCAAAATTCAAATTTCAGACACTCTGAAATCAACACAGATGAGAAAGTACCTACAGGAGGTACCTATTATTAATATACATGTGCGTGAACAAGAAAACTACATGAACCCCTCCTCTACATGTATTCAGTGTGCACATCCTTATCACAGCATAATGTGTAACACAAATAATTGATCTCTCCATCTCTATTCCAGGACAGTATCATCTTCAGATTGAAAAGGCCCAACTGGAAGATGACGCCACCTATGAATGTCAAGCGGGCCAGTCAGAGAGCAGTCACGCACTCGTGTCCAACACAGCCTGGGTCAACATGTTAAGTGAGCAAAACCGTGGAGTTTGTTTCACAGAGGGGATGTGGGGGCTTATAAACATGTACTTTTTTGCCAGAATGATGAAATAATGTATGTAATAAGGCACAGTGAGTGTCCTCAGCACTTCAGTAGTATGCACAACCTCTTGACCGGTAATCAGCATATAAAGAGCTGTTAAATATTCATTTCTATTGATAAAGAGCTTTAATTTGCTTGAGATAAGGCAGTTGCATTTGAAGCAGGGCTCTTGTTACAGTAGAACTCAGCGCTTTCCTTCAAATGCAAATCATATTTGATGCATGTATGGACCATGAAGAAAGTCGCAATTTTTTGTAACTTTTCAAACATTTATTTCTTTAACAAGCACTATGCCATCCCTGCATGTTCCAGCAGCTCCATGGCTTTACACAGCAGCTGCACAATATAAAGTATCAGTACAGCCTGGATTCCCTGGCAAGCCTCAGGGCGATCCATGTCTCTCCCTTGCACAGGAATAAATTATAATAGGAGTGATTGAAAAGTTCCTACTCAGACATGGGGTGGAATAGATGTAATTGTGCAACTACATTAGACCACCTGTTGTCACTCTATAACAACCAGTATCTCTCTCTCCCTATCCCTCTTGCTTGTGGGAGCGAGCCCATATGTGGCAAGGAAAGGACTCTAAAAGAACCTTTCTTCTCCAGGCGCAGTTCATTTACTTACATCCCCCTCCCCATTCTCTCCATTGCACAATTTCTCCCTCTCTTCCTCGCCTTCAAGCTTTCTCTTTGGTGACCATGGAGAGGGATTTTTTTTTTTTTTTTGGTGGTGGTGGTGAGGGGGGGTTGCCGTGGCAATTCTAGCGGCCTCTCTCTCCTCTGGGAAGAGAGCAGGTTTTTCTGACATCAATGGGCTGGTAGGAGGGATGGCGGGTGGTGTGGGATAGGAAGGGGCATAGACTGCAGACGTCTCCTCTGAAAGGCTGCGCTCTGTTCTACACTGCAGCAGTCTCATGTCCTACAGCAGGCCTACACCTGCAGCCACAGCAGGCTTGACTCCCACATTTATTACCTCTGAAATGCCTATTGCATGTGCGCCCACATGCACAAAGTCAACAAAGTTGCCTGTGGCTTTGTCGAAAAGGTCAAATTGTGTGGGAATAATGTTCGTGTTACGTCAGGGTTTGGTGGTAGTTGCATTTAGCATGACTGAAACCTACTGCTGCCCTGTGCTGTTGACATGCTCAGATCTGAATCCTCCCCGCACATCACAGCCAGTGTTTCTGTTCAGCGTCTTGGGAACACTTTACAGCTGTTGACAGTTTAAGATGGACAGTTGCAGCTGTACAGTTGCAAAGGGCAAAGAGTGAAGCGACTGACTTAAAAAAGCACATTGCAACCTTGGTCCTAAAGGGTCATTTGTTCCACCCCACCAACTCAACTGATTCAAAATACGTGACTAATCTGGGGCTTGATAATGAGCTGATGAATTCAATCTCCTGTTAGTGCTGAACTGGGACTGGAAACTGTGCATCCTTTTGAAGAGCACTGTCTCTGATGAGTTCCCCACGGACTTCTCCATCACTGAACTACAGCTCCCAAGGCCCCACACCCCTGGCCAGTCAACCATGGGCATATCCCATCAAGCCCTGCATCAAATCAAAACACTATAAACTCTTTATGAGGAGATACAGTGGGGGGGTAGAGGGGGGAGGAATGCGAAAACAAAACAGAGATTGCTGGTCGTATAATTGGATTCTTGGGTCAGAGGGAGTGGTATAATGACTGGCTAATTCAAGATGGATCACCACAGGCAGTAAATAGCAGGGATGGAGGCAAAAATGTCAATAAGCCCCATCCATGAGCTTACAAAGAGATGCTTTCAAGACATTTCCATTGGTGCAACATAACTCCTGTGTGTTTTTGCCTTCCTGCAGGGCTTAGATAGGGGATTACCGCAATAGGCAGATCAAGTGGCACTGAGTAATCCATGACAATAACAACCTCTACCCCCTCTGCTGAAACCCCCTCCTCTGCTAAAACTTACCCCGCACTGTGCCCGTCACATACCTGACACATCCTGTGTCTCGGTTTATACCATTAGCCTTAGCATTTAATCCTGTTAATGAACAACTCTCTCCCTCACCGCATTGCATGCCTGTACAGATGCCTCCTGCAAATGTTCAAAACAGTTATTTGATGTGTTCTGGTTTTAGACTGTGTTACTCATTCAGTTGCCATAGTTGGGTCTTACAGAGATATGTGTGTGTGTGTGTGTCTGTGTGCGCGCACGAGTGTGCCCATGTGTGTAAGCTTATTATCAGTGTTGGTTGGAGGTTAGAGGACATTTTAGGAACCAAGGCTATGGTGAGGTTTTGCGGTAGCTAATGAGTTTAGCACTTGAAGAGTATATAATGAGCCTTCATTTTATGATTCCCTGTTATGAATAATGGAACAACTTATAAATGGGGGCACAAGCAACGTAGAACATAGTGACTTTATTCATCTTCGTTCACAAAAAGTTCTGACAGTTGCCCAAGATATAACCCCATCAGAGGACGGAGTGTTATACACTGGTGTGACGGTGCGCATATTACACCGCCAGACTGATGTTACAGTGTCAGGGTCTTTACAATTAGCGTGGGGGAAGTTCTGCTAAACAGTGAAATGAGACAGTGCTTTTAATTCTGTTTTGAATCTATCATTAAGGTCAATTGAGTCAGTTCAGACCTTGGTTGTGTAAAATAGTTTCTGTAAATGGTCATTTGGGAGATGGATTCTGATTAATACAAATTGAACTGTTTTGTAATGGACCCAGAACCAAAGGTAAGAGAGACATTAGAGGTGGGACAAGGAGGAGGTGTGTGTGTGTGTGTGCGTGTGTGTGTGTGTGTGTGTGTCTGTCTGTGTGTGTGTGTGTGGGTGGGTGAGGGATGATCGTGAGGGGTGGGGGGTCTTATTTCTGTCCTAGACACCTGCTCCACTTCTCCCCCAGAACAGAGGAGACACAGAAGGGAAGGGAGAGACAGAAGAGGAAGGCTGAAAAAGAGCACTGTTTCTCAGGCTTTCATTGCCAGAGATCACACACCTGAGACCTACGTGTGTGTGTGTGTGTGTGTGTGTGTGTGTATATGTGTGTGTGTGTGAGAGAGAGAGAGAGAGTGTGTGAATGAGTGAATTTGTGGGTTTTTATGCATGAGAAGAAAAGCAGTGTGTGCAAGTACATGTGCCTGCATGTGCGGTTTCAGCCAATCAGTCTTTGTCTTCCACAGATAAAACTGATGAGTTGTGTCTGTCTGGTGTTGAGAAGTCTGACCTTCTGGTCTCCATTATTTTTTTAATTCAGCATAATACGCTTTTTAGAGACTGTTTATCCTCTGGGCCTTCTCTGATATTTTTGCAGAGAATCAGCTAGGTACCACATGTTAGACTGTGCACACACGGACGCCTGTTTTTAGAGTGAAGTGAAATGAACGTAGCTTGTCTGCACATTCACTCACCTGCGTCTGTGTTTTTGTGCGTGCAAATCTGCATGCACTGTAGACATTTATGTAGAGTTTATCTTTGGGTGTTTGTGTGTAAGGGAGAAAAAGAGAGTGTGTGCATCTGTATGTGAATGAGAGAGAAAGATAGGTGGAAAAAGCTGCTTATGCATATTGATGTGTGTCTGCTAATCTGCTTCTTATCTGCCTTATCCATCCATCCGTCTGTATTTGTCTAATGAATCGAATTTTGCGGCTCACTGTTTCTCATCTGAACGGCAGGAGCAAGTCTTTGCCTATCTATTTTTGTGTTCATATATGTGCCTTAATAAGAGAGATGGAGCTCGGAAGCAGAGAGGAGGAGAAACAGACAGGGAGACAAAATGAAAAAGCCGACAGGCAAGTAGACAAAGAAGGGCAGAAAGAGTTAATTAAGAGAACAGCGTGTTTGCTGTCTGTTCTTTCCTCTGAGTGCACGTCTAGTAAATTGAACATAATATGTGTTTTGTTGTTGTCCACATGTTGAATCATATTTGTACAAATGTGTATGCGCATCTAAGTTCAACCTGACTTGGCTGATTGGGTCACTTTCTTGCCTTAGTGGACATGATGGATGATTGGCTGTAATTCCCAGTCCAAGCTAGAACACACCTTCCCCCGCTCTTCTGCAGTTTAACTGCAGTGGTCAAGAAGGATAGTGTGGGGATGGGGTGGGGGTGGGTGGTGGGGGGGGGTGTGCTCCGGCTGCTAGAGAGGGATGATGGAGTGAATGAGAGATAAGAGGAATGGGCCAGCATGAGCGAGCCAGGAAAAAATTAGATACCTGCCTGCCTCATTTGCGAACATATCATTATTCTTATTTTAGGATTTGTTAGGCTGCCAGACACTCCTCGAGCACAACAAGTGATGCGCTTATGTGAATCGTGCGGGCCTGAGTAGATTGAGAGTGCAGGGGCTGTCAATAGATGCATGGCCCAGTCATCTTCTCAGGGAAGAGGGGGGAAAAACAAACAAATGCATCTCATTATTGCAGTGCGCGCCTCTGCAGTGCTCTGGGTAACCCATCACAGTCCACACAGATTCAATTGCTTCTTTTAAATCAGTTTGAAGCTGCAGCCACATCTCATCTGTCTCAATAGCAGACTAGGGCCAATGGGTGGCTCTGCACACAGCAACAGCTCCTCCTAGTGGCCAGGAATTGGTCACATGTGCCAAAAGGGAGAGGAGAGGAGCTTAATGGCTGGCTGGTTCTCTTGCCCGTGGTCCAGCTGTTTACCCTCACATTAGTAGTGGATTTATCCCAGAATTCAGCGGCAGCTATCTTTCTGGCCTTACTCTCCTCTGCAGCCCATCTTATACTCACTTTTTGTTCTTGCCATATCCCTTTACTTCTCTGCCTCTGAGTCTTTGTCTCTCTCACACAAACACATGTAGCCTTCCTGTACTTTCCAACTCCCTGCTCCATCTCTGAACTCACTTGCACTTGATCTCTGATGAAAGAAAAACAACCTCAACAGTAACCATAGTTTCTAATGCTACAGGCTCACCTGCTCACTACAAGCAGGCACAATAGATGATCAGGTTTCTGTAGCGTGTGCATGATTAAACTGATAGCCTCGGTAAAAAGTGGCTCACAGATCTGCAGAAATCTTTTTGATGAGTAGTTGGTGACAGATTCCTCAATTTACTGCCAAACAATTTTGGTCCCTTGTGTTAAAAGCTGTTTTTTTTTTTTTTTTTTTCTGGAATTCCTATTTATGGTCAGATAAAAGGATTGTAGAGTAGAACAGTAGAGAAGTGAAGACTGCTTTGATCAGCCCAGAAAGCACATATTTAGCTTGGGGGTGATCTGAGAAGAGAAGTGTTTGGTGTTTGCTATGATAGATTAGCATTGGATCGGTTTCATCACTATTTCATCTCTGTATTCTCTTCTTGTCCACAATTTGTATTCTAACTCAACAGAACATCAAACCTCGTTGTAGTAAATCACTCAAAACCTGACAGCGTGACACTCCAGTCTCTCCCAAATGTTTCAAGTGCTTATTATCATATCATTGCATAAGCTAATATCTATCTGTGACATTAGCAGCTTCTACTAACCCAAAATGAGTGTGGTGAATATTAGGTTACCGATGTGAGAAACATGAAACTTGAGCTTTTTGTTTCCCTCTTACAGTTCCTCCGTCCAGTCCATACTTTGAGGCGGACATGGCAACACCTTGGGTTGCAGGGAAGACATACACCGTCACTTGCGTTGCCCCTGAGGCAAAGCCTATGGCTGAAATCACTCTTTATAAAGGTGAGTCACCCTTTCAACAGCACTAAATATGACAGAGATGGTCAGCCTGACATGGTGGAACAGAGGGCAACAGCTTTTCCGATATTCTACATACTGGGATCTCCATAGGTCGCAACCAGAATATTCAAACATAAAAATATTGCAGAGGATAAAATGCAAGTTTAGTGAAGATTTCTTATTTCATAGTCTTCGGATGGAAGAGTTGAAAAGAGCAGGCTCTGTGTGGGAGGAAATAGCCTGAACATTTGAATTTCCATTTTCCACTGACTTTACAATTGCATGTACAGTGGATGGATCACAAGTTCCCAGTTGTTCACAAAACAGCTGCAATTTCCCCATTTTCTGTTTTTACCTTTCCCTCCCCTGTCACACCTATTATACTGTACATTCCCGAAGCAGAAAGGGAGAGAGAGAGAGTTGTTCTGTTGTTCTCTGCAGGTGTGAATTTGTCTGCAGGGTTGTTCTGGAGGTCTGAGACATATTTCTTTCCTTGTTAAAATGTACACCTTTATTGTATTCAGGAAGATGTCGTTTTGTTTTGGTCATATTGTGATTTGATTTCAATTTAAAGACAGGCTGAGATAGTGGTTGTTACCTGTTACTGTACCACACACAGACGCACACTGCGCACACACAGATACACATATTTGTTATATTCCAGTGTTTACCATTCCACATGAGAATAACACTGATGTTGCTGTTTCACATGAACAAATTTACACACTGTATTCTCCCTTTTTGTGCTCTTTCCCCCCATTGTGTCTTTTAGATGGAGTCAAGCTGACAGGTGCAGAGTCTTTCATCATGTCTGGCTCAAAGGATAAGCTCCTGAACACGCATGCTGAAGTAACGTATGTGTTCGCCCGCTTGCCAAACTCATTCTCCTCACCGACCTGCTCATTCTCTCTAAGTCTTGTTTCCCTTGTTTTCACCCCGCTCTTATTTTCTCCCTCTGTCTTAGTGAGTACAATGAATTTCTGCACACAGCACACTGTTACTTGGCACAGTGCGATTGAATTAGTTTCTGTCAAATGCACAAAATTACATTCCAGCAGCGAGACAGATCCGATCCTCACCGGTCCGCCAGGTGCCTATACATTAAACAGGACCATAGATTACTTTAATCCTGCTTGTCTCCTCTGTGTCAGAGATAATAACCTCTTGTCATATCCTGAGATAACATTGGTACTGAGGAGCTGCAACGTTGTTCAGCTCTATTGCAGAACAGCCAAGGTCTTAAGCAATATTGATGCTCCTTCCTCATATTCACACTGAGCGTACACAGCAGTGGGCCGTGTGTGATTGTTACGCTTGACATTGTACTGTAATTTGATACAGAAGACATAAACTGAAAAAGTAAACTAGCATAAATCCACTGCAGAGAAGCGACTAGTGGGTCTTTCAATGTACATCACATAGAGTGCATGTTTGGATTTATTGTCACGTGGCTCATGCAAGTGGCCAGACACAGAGGCGGGAGAGTAAGTTAGCATATTTACTCAAGTACTGCACTTAAGTACAGTACTTTTACTTTAGGATTAAGATTTATAGAAAAAAGAAAGAAAAACATATGATAAGCTAATGAAATACAATACGTTGGTAAAGATTACCCGAGTGGTTCCCAACCTTTTTGGCTTGCCCTTACAAAAGTCACTGTCTAGTTGGAGTTCCTGGTCACGTTTCGGATGTCTGTGAGTTGTTAGCAATTTCCCCCTCTAAAATTCTCACATGGTTACATTGAAATAACTGTTCAAATTATCCAATACTTCACAAAAAGCTGAGAGAAAAATGACTTTGTATAGCAAAACTTTTTTTTCTTCTTGCTATTTAAGTGCTGCTCACATGTTGATGCATAAGTAAGTTACTTCAGTAGCATTTTGACTACAGGACAAGTGCTTGTAACGGAGTATATTTAGTAAAGGATCTGAGTGCTTCCTCCACCACTGGATGGACATAACCATGATGTGATGTTTTTGAGCTTAAGCACTTTGTATGAGTCAGTAAAATAAGTTTTTCATCCTTCTTTGTTACTTCTCAAAGAGTCACCGCTCTGAGCTCTGACAACGGGAGGCAGCTGGTGTGTCATGCCAAGAACTCCGCCCTTTTCCGGCCTCTGGAGACCACATTGACCATGAGTGTGTGCTGTGAGTGTCTCAACGTGTCTGTTAACTGACAGTCAACACCCCCTCTCTTTCAGAACACACACACACACTCACGTAAAAACACATTCAACCACACAGGAACCCAACCTCAGGGAGGCCCAGGGGTATCCGGCCTTGTGCACTCAGTCTGCGTTAGCGGTCCAAGGAGAAACATTCAACCTGAAGGCAAACTCACACCTACTTCAAGAAAACATGAGTGTGACTGCCTCCACTTCACAAGGCTGCCTCTGGTGGGCTCAGATTGATATGACCAAAGCAGGAGGCTGTTTTCTTACTGTAAAAGCATGTTAGTGTCCGCAGCAGTGGCTAGCAATGTAAAATCATATGATACCCTGCAATTCAATTTGAATTAGTTTAGTTTAGATTTACTGTTTTATTCAGTAGCAGTATTTACACCCTCAGTCTTATTTCCCTCATGTTAACCAAAACACATAAACCAATTATTAGACTAAATGAGATGGATTATATCAGCCAGGCTTCAAGTACTGAATTTTTTAACAATATTATAATAACTAATATGAATGGCTAAGGCCACCATGGTTAATGATAATGAATCCTACAAAACTAGCCCAGCAACTTTTGTGCTCATCAGCTCAAATTAAATTTCTGTTTCAGGCCGGAAGGCAGATTCTGTTTCTTTTTCTTTCATGTTATTATCACAAAACTGTGCGACGTTATTTAATAAAATTGTTACAGCAGCACACAAAGGTGAGTTGACACATAAGCTGTCTCTGTCTCACGCTGCATTTGCAGTTCCTTTTTCCTCTTATTTGTCAAGGCAACAATGAAAGGTGTTTTTTATTGAACGCACAAACAGTGTCTCACTACTACAGTAGGTTTAGTATTTTCTACTCTGTTGATCAGTTGAAGTAATTGATTGCTTAGGCCCGAGAGTCTACCCACCTGCTTCTCCCAGGCCTAAATCATGTTGTTGATTAAAGTGGAGCAGGGCTGCTGACACCTTCAGCAGCCAGCACTTGCTCCAGCTCTGCTGCTGTATTATCCACAGGCTGACTAGACACCTTAATGTTGTCTCTATCTATACTCCTCCACATTAGACGCCGCCGCTGCTGTTTTAACAATCACCAATAACCGTGAGCACTCCTCCCTTCCTCTCTATCTCCCTGCTCTGTATTAAACAACATGGGCTCCGTACTAAGTGCTAATGTTGCAGAACTTGGGACCACCGCTGCAGTCTTACTCAGCATGCCAGCCCATCAAAGCCAGCGCGGTGGCCATTTTCAGCCAGCCAGATTGTTAGCAAGGTGGCAATTTGTCATGCTGGCCCAGGGTCTGCAGTCTGCTCTCTGAAACTGATTGCAGCAATAACAAAGGCCCGTCCTCCTCTAATTTATTTTACTGCGTATATTTTATTTAAGGAGGCTGTAATTTATTCATATTTCACGTTGCCTTATTACTGTTTGAACATCTGTTATTTTGCTTTATGGACTGGATCCAGCTCACTGCTCCCTTAATACTTAATGCTTTCATCAGATCTGGACCTCTTATCCCACAGTCATGTTGAATGTGCCCAATTTATTGGCCTTGCCTCAACAAATAGGGATGCTCCCTAATCAATTGCCAAAAGTGTTCTCATCGCAGTGCACTTGCTTTTTTATGTTATCTTATTGATGGTCACTCCGCCCCCCTCTTTCTGTGAGTTGCTACATCCTTTTTCTTCCCTCACCTTCTCCTCCGCAGTTTTCTATTGCCCTCTGTGCCATTCCCCTTTTGTCAAGTGCATTTTTATTTTTGTCTCTCATTTCCTGGCAGTCCCACCACCTCAGCCTCCAGTTATTCTGGGTCTGGAGAGAGAGGAAGTCAAAGCAGGGACAATGCTCGGGTTGGAGTGTGTGTCTCATGGTGGAAACCCCCTAGCCACTCTCCACTGGACCAAGGTTAATCTTCTGCACCATCTCTTAAGGAAGCTTTGTAATAGACTGTCACACAAAATGAACCATTTTAGTTCAAGAACTTGCAGTGAAGTTATCCCATTATTCGTAGCTTCTGTCCTTCATTGACTGCATCATATGGGACTGTGCAGCTAACATAATTCTTGACGCTGCCTTTTTGAGTTTTACGTTTTCATCCGTGTGTCAGAATGGAGAAGTTGTGTCTACGACTTGGGAAGAGGACGTCGTTGTGCAGAAGTCCAGCAGCATCCTCAACCTGATGATCACCCCTGCTGACAACCAGGCAGAGCTGTGCTGTGAGAGTGTCAATCTGGTGTCCCCATCTCCTCTCTCCGTCAGCCGCAAAATCACTGTGCTCTGTGAGTGAAAATAATGCTTATGGTGCACAGCGCTGGAGCACACACACACACACACACACACACACACACACACACACACACACACACACACACACATACACATAAAACCCTGGCAGGACTCACAGCAATGGATTATTAAGGATATGGACATGAGGCAGAGGAATATAATAAGAGTCTTACCTCCAAAACCAATTCTTTTGCTGTCCCAGCACAAATTCTAATGCTAATATCATTAATGAAACTAATGGTTATTATGGCTGCAGCCCATATTTCCGATTGCCTCCAGATTAGTATCACGCTCTTTCATAGCTGTTACACTAATTTAGCTGAATTGCTTCAATGCACAATCCTGAGGCAGTAAAGCCTACACTTTCTGCGACAGTAACGCCCATGGTTAATAGATTATACTTTTCCCTCTGAATATAAAATGTTTGTTTCAGCAACAATAAAACAAATAAGAATTAATATTCAGCAGCCTTGGTGCACTGAGTCTAACAATAGCATGATTTCCACTACAGAGCCAGACAATGTAAGTCAGAGCTCTAAATGCTGTGTGATTGATGCGCCTATTCTATGAAAATATGATTTGAATTAGAATCGGCCCTTTCGGGAATCTCTTGCTCATGCTCATGTAAAGGTGGCTGAAGTTACTCCAGTGCTCCTCTTTTACTCACCGAGCCCCCAACCAGCCCCGGTGCCATGCCTCCCAGTCATCCATTCAGGGATGTTGGAAATGCCTGACTGCGCTCTAGGCACTGGTAGAAGCTGGAGGGCACAGAATACGCCTCGCTGGTGTAATGTGAATATGCCTCTTTTACGTTACAGCACCTGCTTAATTTAATGTCTTTGTGCGTAGCATGCACAAGCGGGATGCCACACATATGCAGGATAGACACAAATACCTTAAGATTTACATACGTGACCCCTCCCTCCCCATGTCTGCCAGCTCAGTCCCCAGCCTTTGTATTCCCCCGAAGGCTTTATGCAGCTGCGTCACTTTGCCTGTAGCTATTGTACCCTGTCTCCCCCTGTGGCTGAATCGAAGCAGACTTTAGAAACCACATTGAAAACCTCCTGAGAAAACAAGTTGCCACTCAAAGTGATTTTCTCTCTCAGTCTTGATACAACTCTATGTCTCACATCCAAAAATAGTTGTGCTGCCACTGTGATCAGAATTGGAAGCTGTTGAATGTACTATTCATGGGGCGATATTTTTACTGACTTGTCTTTGTATGTTTCGCCTATGTATGTGTGTGTGTGTGTACATTAGTTGAGCCCGCAGAGGTGATGCTGTTGGGTTCATCCACGGCCATTGCAGAACAGGAGTTGAATCTGAGCTGCTTTGCCACCTCCAGTAATCCCCCTGTTCAGATTCGCTGGTGGCTGGGCTACAAGGAGCTCAGTACCACTGTTGTCACTATGGAAGAGGTGAGACTACACAGAATTCAATTTGCACAAAGCTTAAATCCATCTGAGCAGGTAGACACATATACACTATAAAGAGGACAGAGAAAAACTATATATGTTTTTGTTTAGCTTTTGTGAACACAAAGCAGAAGCCATGAAAAATGATTTACAAAAGTATTGCTTGTCAGTCAAACTTGCCTTTAGGGTACCATTAAAATACCTCCCATTGAATTAAAAGAATCCTCAATATGAAATTTGACCTCATGTGAACCTTTATAGATGAAAGAAAATGGTATGACCATGAGCGCTCTGTGAATAGGCCGGCTACAGCTTTGCAAATGAATCAGCTGCTGATTCCAAAAAGAGTATTCTGCTGCTCTTCCCCTCTTTTGTGTATGTTAATAAGATCAAAGTGAATAAAAGCTGACACAGAAGATGAGCATTATTAAACAAGCTCTTTATTCATCTGGCAGCAGCATTTTCATTTGATCTTACACAAGGCACTCAGTGTGCTGTGTGCGAGCTTTAATGCATCTGAAACAGTGTGAGGTTAATGAAGACTGACGCTCCTGTCCAGTGTCTTTGTTAGTCTTTCTGACTGTGGCTTTTACAGTAATCACCACAATAATAGCTTTAATAACCAGATGTGCTGCATAGGCATGGCCACCATCAGGCAGGTGCAAAATGATGCTTTGCTTAATTTATGCAGCACGAGCGTCAGATGAATATGCTTATTTATCACAGACCACCACATCAGTTATTACAGCAGCTAATTTGCCATCTGTATTCGCCAAGACAAACCAGAGTGGGTTGTTTTTCTCTGATTTTTTTTTTTTTTTTTTTTTTTTTTTTTTTCTTTCTCTCTCTCTCCTCAGACTGAGAACGTTAGAGATCAAGGCTGTCTGTCCCCCAAACTGAACTGTCATATGTGCTTTGTGTCTGTAGGGAGACAATGGTGGGATGACAACCATGTCCAACATGACCCACCAGGTCTCAAGGGAGGAGGATGGATTGGAGCTCACCTGTGAGGCGTTCAACAAGGGCACACACTTCTCCAAGACCCAGATGATCAAACTCAGTGTTTATTGTCAGTGAGCTTAGGTCTAGCTACTTGAAACAATATTTATTTTTTTTAAATCACTATGGAAAATGAGATTCGAATTTTTTGCATCTTAACAAGAACACATCCAACACGGTTCAAGAGGGGTCAGTTGTAGTTATAAATCTTCACAAATATAATCCTTTACACAGAATGAGCAACTATTTTCCGAGCCAGCTTTGTCATGTTTTGTGTTTTCAGTACACTTATCCAAATTGAAATTCTTCGTTATAAAATGTATTGATGTCAGCTCTGAAGCAGGTGATGTTCTGTAAATATAAACAACTGGTCTGCTAAATGCGTATGCTAACCGAAACTAAACTAAAATTGTGAAAATATTCTACCATATTTCAAACTTTTGTTAATCATTTTTATAACAGACCCCCCTCAAAAGGTATGGCTTGAGGCTCCTCCTCAGGATGTCCCCCTTCATGCGGGCACCAAAGTCCGTCTCATCTGCTTCTCCACTGGCGGGAATCCCACTGGGACTCTGACCTGGTTCAAGGTCAGTCTGTGTCTGAATGTCTGTGAGTCTGTATGAATGTTTTAGTCTGTCTAGAATACACACACTTTTCTGTGTAATGTCCTTCCTGTGTTAGAATGGAAAGCCAGTGACAGATGCGCTGAAGCAGACGTCCTTTGATCGAGGTGTGGCTCGAGAACTGGTCCTGGTCCTGACGGCAAGTGACAACATGGCTACCTATCGCTGTGATGCCAAAAATGAGGCAAAGAAGAGCATCTCTGCCCACACTGAGCTTATGGTTTACTGTAAGTTAGACCAGAGCTCCAACGCATAATAAATACAGCCTAACCTTTATTCCACTTTAACTTTCTTAAGGAAAGAGCGCTGTCAGATAAATGGATTTGATATAATAATATTTTAGTCTCTTCATCTTGATATTGCTGGTGAGTGTATTTCTTGTGTACTCCACGGTTCTCCAGTTACAGCAATAAATATGACGATCACAGCCAAACAGGAGGAGCTCCATCGGGGTCAGATGCTTACACTGGAGTGTCAGGCTGGAAGCAGTAACCCCAAGGCCAACATCTCCTGGAGCCTGGGCCCCCTCAGGTTTGTCAAGGCAGTGGGTGGAAAGGCAGACAGTGACAAAATGACATGGTTAATTGAGTCAGAATGAGTCTGAATGCCTGATGTTTATCTTGTTAAATGTGGTAGTATTGGGGATTGTTTGGTGAACTTTAAGTCCCCTGTTGATTGGATTTGCTGGATGGGATTTGCGTCTTAGGTTCCAGGGAGCGGAGCAGCAACCTGAGAAGGCTCAGTATGGTGGTGTTTCAGTGCGCAGTTCTTTATCCCTGATACTGAGCTCACAGCATCACAACCAGAAGGTCATTTGCCAGGCCTACAGCCCTGTGCTCGCTGAGGGGACCAACACATTCTTCAAACTCAATGTGCTTTGTAAGTGGAGGGTGAATTGTTTGTTCGTTTCTTTGTTTCTTTCTCTCTCTGTTGGCGAGTGACCAAGAGATGTGGTTTGCATAAATCTTAAACGATGCATAATGATGATCTATAATGCTGTGGATGAAAGCTGCTTTGCTTTGGGTCCTTTTGCACAGAATTGCCAGCATACAGTATGTGTGTGTTTCTTTGTTTACTGGAAACCTTTGTTGTGATTTGTGGGTCCGTTGAGCTCTGCGGCAGTGTGTCCTAATTGTGCATTTGCTTTGCTGCATGGCCATGTTTGCCTTTGATGCCATTTCACAGGCAGCAGCCAGCCACTGTTTCAAAGCTTGGTACTGTGTATGAGCATGAAGGAATGTCACTGTGTGTTTGTGCGGAGCTGCAGTTGGACAACAGTACTGTCACTCGTCGTTTTAATGCCTGTCCCTCTCCCTCCCGCATTGCCTTACTCCCCCGTCGCCTGAGCGTGTGAAGTTAGTTAGATCTAGAATTATTGGTGGGATGTCGACTTTCTACTGGTTTGACTCTCATTAGTGTCTCTTACTTCTTTCATGCTCAACATGTTTTGTGTGTTTTTGAGCTCGCTCTTGCTGTTTCTTGTCAATCTGTGGGCCTGAGTTTGTATCCGTGCCTGTGCTCATGTATTTTTGGTGTAAATCCAACGTACTGTAGCTGTATTTGTTTGCTGTTTCTGTGTCAGACCCACCAGAGTTCAGCCCTCACCAGCCAACGCTGGTCCAGGTGGTGGAGGATGACATGGCAACCATCCCACTGCTGGTCTCAGCTAACCCAGAGGAGGTCTCCTGCATTTGGCTGCACCGCAAGGAGGAGCTGGTCAAAGGTGATCCAGGGCTATGTGATGGCTCTATAAACCAGGTCCTAGTTGAGCTGAGCCAGCAAGTAAGCACTCAGCTCTGCCATTCAGGGTCTGAATAAAACATGGCAGGTTAGCCAGCATGGGACCCTGCCAAATGTGATTCTCATTATGGCTCTAATGTATGCAGTCTAAATGAGGATTGCTGTCTCCCTGAATACAACACAATGGTTCTAAACCTGGCTTCTCCTCCAGGCCGGTGTCATCAGGGCCCTGCTGCACCCACTCTTTTTCTCTGTTAACTCTTTTAGCTTCATCATACACAGACCCCATCATAAAATGACTGTATCTTTAATGTAGAAACCCACCTATTACATTTTGAGTGCTGTGGTACAGAAGGTGTCTCCAACGCCACCTATTGTTGGCGTGATGTGGGAATCCAGCCAGGCCAATCAATAATGCAGGATTAGATGTCACTTAGAGACCGGTGGCCAGAGGACATGCGGTTGATGGGCGTGTAATGAATACTTAATTTACCATTGGTTTGCATGTGTGCGCGTGTGTGTCTGTGTGTGTGTGTGTGTGTGTGTGTGTGTGTGTGTGTGTGTGTTTGTGTGTGTTTTTGTAAAGAGGGGTACCCGCACTACCACTGGTCGGATGAGTACACACTGGAGATCAGGAATGTGACGAGGAAAGATGCCGGAGTTTACTCTGTCACGTGTTCAAATTCTGAGGGTGTCAGCCAAATCTCCATCATGCTGGATGTTCAGTGTAAGATCCTGCACACAGACACATGCATCTTTCCTCCCACACACATGCTCTGATTTTGTCAGGTTACCTGGGTACCCTGCGCTTCATGTTGAATGTGGTATTCTTTGTGATCATGAAAACAAATTTATTGTAACCATTTCATTTTTTTTTGTACAAATAAAGAATTTCAATACCCATAGTTGTAGATCACTTTGCCCAAGTTAAAGATGACTCAAGTGGCAGCTGCACTGTAATTTTTTCCTGTGCTTCGATAATCTTTTAGAGTTACATTTGAAAGCTAGTTTGATAGTGTACAATAGTTTGCAGGGATTGAATAAAATACTCAAAGAAGACAGAAAAAGAAATGGAAATTAGAGAACAAGAGAGAAAATGTAGAAATGGTACTTTGTATAGTCACATTTTTTTTTTACTTTAATCCATTTATAATGAATCTTCATGTTTTAACATGTATACCTGTAGGTCCCGAGGGTCACCAGTCAACCAGTCAGTCTTTAAATACAGAGAACGAGTAGAATTTTTCTTGACAATAAATGTCAATGTTGTGCATTGGATCTGAATCTGTGGCCTGCTAACCGCATGTTTTTGAACGTGTCCAAAGCTGCTAAGTATCAGTGTCAGTGCATCCTCACACACTGACACACCCAGACAACAACATTGACTTTCAGCAGCTACCCAGCAAACATTCCTCATTCATTAGGCCTCCATGCAAGGCCGTGCACCTCCACTGCTGCCCCAGGCCCAGCCTCGAGCTCTAGGCCCTCTGCCCCGATATTGATGATTTAATAATGGAGGCGTTGAAAATGTAGGTCTGCCTCTTTCACCAAAGCCCATGGTACACGCCTAATGGATTCTGCCGCTCTGATATGACTGGACTTGACAGTTGTAGATATTCATTATGTATGGAGAATTGTAGTAGCTTTTATGGGTGGCGGTGTAGCCCACTTAACAATGTCGGTCTTGGTTAGCGGGCCAACATGGGTGGATCCCACCAAGTCAGAGGTTTGTGTCTCTCTACTGTTTCCCACTACTGTTCTTCTAGAGTGAACATAGGTTTAGACAAGTAGGCACTAATGGCCTCATTCCTGCAAGTACATGGCACCCATGAGAGGTATAAAAAGCCTCTGAGGTAGAGGGGAACAAAGACAAGAACAGCAACCATGCAGTTGGGAAAGAGATGATTCGATGAACACTTGGAGGAAGAGAGGAATGAAAGGCGGGGGGGGTCAAAGGAGGGACTTGTGGGTCAAATGTCCAAATCTTGGTTTGGATGTAAAAGCATCTATTTTGCTTCAACATATAGAGAGTTAATGGCATTGTATCTCAAACAGAGAGGCCAGTGAAGATGGGGTTATGGAAAAGTTCAAAGGCAAAACAGTGTAGAAGTAATTATAGTGATGCAGCAAACCTGTTTAATGGGTTGGCAACTAATTTGCCCCAGGTTGGCATATTAACCTTTGTTCCTGCCTTAGCTTTGTCCCCTTTTCTTACTCTCAGATTCTCCCGCTGTCAAGGCAGAGAAAGACCCTGTGTTTGTGAACATGGGGGGAACAGCAGACCTGATATGTGTGGCAGATGCCAACCCCATTGTAGCTGACATGTTCTCTTGGAAATGGCTGGTGAGAGCTACACACACACACACACACACATATATATACAAAGAAACACAATCATCCCCTGAATTATATTTCCTTTATCTGGCTTCCTTTCTATTATTTTATCTGTTCTTACCGTTTATCACTGGCCTTTCTAAGTGCACAGATGCACCATATTTCATTGGCTCTAACTATCCTTCCACCCCACCTCCTCCTGCTCTACACTCAGCCCAAATCCAGAAAAATAGCTTTCATTACTGCTGCGTGACTAAAGGGCACATTCGTCAATGCGACGTGGTCTCTGTATCTACTGATGCCTTCTCCAGTCTAACCCACCCCCTGGCAATACTGTGTGTCCCGCTTTCAACCTGCACAGCCCCTCCTTTTCTCCTTCCCTGTGGCTCTCCAACCCTTGGCATTATCCTTCTCTGTCCTCAGAGCCTGTTCCCCCGATGCCCTTCCCATCCCCATCTCAAGCCCCGATGGTTTCCGGGGCCCAACTCTCCCTCACTGTCTACCTGTCTTGCTCTCGAACAGCCCCAAAACTCCAGCCCTCAACCAGAAGGAGGGGGAGTATGTTTTGAGGGATGGCTGCTGTCCTCCGCTTATTCCCCCTCACTCTGTCTTCCACAGGGAGAAGGGGAGGTGGAGATGGGAGAGGAGACGCAGGAAGACGGATCAGGCCTTCTGACTATCCATGATGTGACTCGGGCTCATGCTGGTCTTTACCAGTGCACAGCCAATAATGGCATAGCACCCCCTGCCAGCGTAGATGTGCAGCTGGTAGTGCAATGTAAGCTTATAATATTTATTCTCAGTGTCAGAGGGGAAAAAAACATACATGGAGGTTTATTTGTGGGAACATACATGTTTTTGCATCAATAAATACATGTGCACACAGTTTCTCCGTGAATAACCTTGATGTCCATCTTGTCTTGTGTAGTCAAACCAGAGCTTCAGAAAGGAGCCCAATGGAGGAAGGTAGCAAGTAGAGGGGACGGCACCACTACAGCTGAGGTCGTGTGTCAGGCAGAGGGTATTCCTCGTGTCGACTTCTCCTGGGAAAAAAACAGTGTAGGCATGGACTTTGCAAACCCAAGGTCTGACAGTAGACATTATTCTATTTTACAATCTTCTCTTGCAATTATGTTCACTATTAAGTTAGGTGCTAATGTCAGCATTTGGTGACATATTGATGAGTCCTCACAATTAGATTAGGTTCCAACCGAATATAATATATTCTTTTGCTATTTCTTGCTGTTTCACCACTAAATCCGGATTTAGTGCATTTTATACTTTGCTTTTCACTATGCAAATACCTGTTTAATGCCTCTTTGATGTGTGAAATTGGGTGACTTAGTGCAATCTGCAGGACATCACAATCCCTGCTGTCTCCTGCTCAGGATTTATCTCTCTTTATGTGTGTGTGTGTGTGTGTGTGTGTGTGTGCGCGTGTGTGTGTGTCTGTCTGTGTGTGTGTGTCTGTGCGTGCGTGTGTGTGTATGTGTGTGTGTGTGCGTGCGTGCGTGCGCGCGCATGCGTGTGCTGCAGGTATGAGGAGCAGACCATGAGGGAGGGCTCCTTCCACACCAGCACAGTTCGTGTAGTAAATGTGAGCGCATCTCAGGACTATGCTGTCTTCAGCTGCACTGCTCGCAACTCACTTGGGGAAGACAAGCTCGACATCCAGCTCGTCAGCACAAGTATTTATGTACATTTGTGTGTGTGTGTGTGTGTGTGTGTGTGTGTGTGTGTGTGTGTGTGTGTGTGTGTGTGTTGTGTGTGTGTGTGGGTGGTGGTGTGTGTGTGTGCTGTGGGTGGTGGGTGTGTGTGGGGTGGTGGGTTGGGTGGGTGTGTGTGGGTGAGTTTGTGTCTTGGGTGACTGAGGCTCTTTATACAGCATTGCTTTGTCAGTACCCTGCTAAAACCATGTATTTCCAGAATTCCATGAGTGACAAAAACCAACTCTGTTTCAGTTTTGTTGCATTTTTCAGATAATAACGTCTTAAATGGTTCATTTAGCTTCAGATGTAGGAGACCGTTTTCATTTCATAAGGACGTACTTGATCCTTCAGCTGAGTTTCAAAAGCACCAAATATGGAGAGAGGTTTTCTTTGGACATTAAAAATATGTTTTGTTTTTTTTTTTCAACTGAATTTATGAATAACTTGCTCTCTGGTAATACTGAGAAATCACTAAGAAAAGACATCCAACTCTGCAGCTCCACAAAGCTATTGCAGCTTTTAGCTACTTAAACTTTTTGTTTTGGTTATCTTGTCAACACGTAGTCTATGTGGTTCAGTCTCACTGTTCCCATCAACACATTGACCCCAATCTAAAGACCTTTAGCAGCTGTTTCCAGGCGGCAAGCAGAGTGTGCACAGTACCTTAGGTGGACTGTGAAGAAAGTCAAGCATCTGCCAATGTGAAGATCCCAATAAAGACCCAGAGTCAGTGGACTAAACCAGAGCTGAAAGTCAGATGTAAATTGGGTGCTCACTTGCCTTAGTGTTTGTGCCTGCTCAATGTGTAAGAAATTATTTGTTGAAGCAACTCAATAAACCAACACCTTAGAGCGTTACAGGGATGACATATATTTGTTAGCATCACCCCGGTCCCCTTGACAAAAAACTCATGGGATTTTTCCATTGGCTTTTGGATTATGGCAGAAAAAAGATCTGTGGCGAACAATAGTTCATGATTCTTACACATTTTATTCAGCAAGATAATCTTCACAAATTAACAGCAATTTTATGATTTTTAAAGCCTAAATACAGTAGCCAGATGTAAAAAGGTACAAACCCCACCACAGTAGCATAACTTCAGTGCAAGCTTCCAACTTGTACTTTGATTTAGCTCTTACCTCTTCTACAAAAGCCTTTCCTCTTAGAAAGTTAGTAATAGTTTGCAAGGCCGAGAGTATTAACACAACAAGGCTGTAAAGGCAGACTTGTGAGTAGATTGGTTTTTGTGTTCAGCATGATGATGTTAAATGTCCCCGACAAGCTCTGCAGTCTCATTTAGGGACTTGTTAGCAACCAGCCTTTTTAAGACATGAAAAGTTTAAAAATCACAAGTGTGGTATTTACTGATATATTTCATGTGATAGAATAAAACATGAACATGTCTTGAGCTCCTGTTAACCACGGCGCTTGTTTCAGGCATCTAAGAAATCTAACCTATTTTTAGGCTTTAGACTTCCTGCAGCTCTCTATAGTAGGTCTGTGTTGCTATCAGTTGTTATTAGAGTTTTTTTTTCCCCCTAGTGGTCAAAACTCACCTAAGGCAGCTTTAAATGAGTGGCAAATGATCAAAGTCAGTGGTTAGGGCACACAATGTGTAGGGATTATGCATATCACGTACTTGGCAGTGGAGCACAATTTTTTTCCTTTGGTTCTAATTTGGCAGCATCTCAAAATAATTGTGTCTGTGCTGCCTTGTCCAAGGTTTATCAGCCTTTTCCAGCAACATTACAATAGTGTGGGAGGGCCATGGAACATGCAGAACTCTGTAAACTGGAGAGAGTTGTTGCTCCTGAGTGTCAGCCCTTTAAGGGACTTATTCCATTGCTCTATCTCTACCTTATCATTGGGCCCGTAGCAGTATTTCACTTCTCCCTCAGATAATGCTGCAGTGATGTGCTTTGCTCTCCCAGCGTGTTCAGACTTTTCTGCCTCCAAGCTACCAGCGTATCCATGCACCCCCACCATTATCAACACAGCCCTGCTCTCAGCAAAGGCCCACAGCCATCATTGGGTACATTTAATGTTTACTATAAAAACCATAAAATACAATCCAATATTGGCCCTGTTTTCCCCAGTCATTTTTTCAGTGCTGTGAATATTCATAATTAATCTGACGCAGTGATAATAAATTTTATATGCTTCCTTATCATTTTAGAGCCCAAGAGGAAGATAGAGTTTTCCCTTTTCTTAGCATGGTGCTTTTTGGAATTGAAGGAGACAAGATCCAAATAAGGCTGACCTCTTTGCCCTGGAATCTTAGGAGTGGAGCTGATAGTGGGAATTATTTACTCTGCAAACTGGGCTGCAGCCTGGAGCCAGAAACGAGTAGAGCATCCTCTTCTTATGTAGCTGCTCAACTATCTCTCCTCCTTCTCCTTCCTTGACTATCTCTGCCTCTGCCCCTAAAACCACCCTTCTTTTTTTTTTTCCATGCTCCAAATGCAAAATAATCCACTTTCCCTTCACTAGCCTGACTGAAGCAGTGCCTCTTGTCAGTCTCAAGGCCTGGTTAGCGTCCTTTGATCTTTGTTCAAAATATTGATAATAATCAAGAGGCTTCATCCTACATTGCACAATTTTGGTTGAATAAATTGGACAAATCAGCCACTTTGTTCTGAGAGGGATCAGCTGTAGCTTTGCCCGTGTTTCCTGATCATCCATACAGCAAGTACAAGTACAACCTTAAGAAAAAGCAGATAAAGAGTGACACACTGTTAAAAAATGCAAAGCTGTTGCTGTCAAAAAGATGTTCTTTGGAAGCCTGAGGAATAAACTGTGATTAAGAAGAGATGAACTGTTAAAAAAACAAAGAGGCTTTGGATGCTCACTGACAAGTTTTTTCCTATAGTGATCATATATTCTCCCTGATTTAATTTTATTCACTGTTTTTCATTATTTACAATCAGCAGTTGTTGCAAGATTCCTTCATTAAATTTACTGCACTTAAAATACTGTTGTACCTAAAAATAGTGTTGTATATTTCCACCCACAAATAAATGTCAAATGAAAAATGAGAGAAATACTTACTACTGCCTCCTCTGACACATTGTTTAGATATCATGATGAGAACAACTTCACAAAATCATCCTATTGTGAAAAACAAAAAGACTGTTCATATGCAATACATTTAAATAGGACAGGATTTTAAAGACGCTCACTTGCACTGGAGAAAAAAAGTGACCAGTTGGAAAAGTGGGAAATAATATGTCAAAACATGTTTCTTCTGTTTCTATCAAGAAGAAAGTCAGCCCCACTCTCTCTTTTTGTAACATTGTCTATAGTATAAAAATCCCATCACAGAGAGCGGAGCCGTCGGGGAGTCACAGTCCTATAAGCCAGCAGAGCCCCTTGTGTTATTTCAAAGACAACGGATATAATCACTTGACTGTCTCATGGCACACATCTCAATTTCTTTGCACCTAAAGCCTTTTCAAATAGCCACCTGTCGAGTGAAGGTGTTCTGCTCTCGCACAAAGTCAAGAGCACATTTGCTTTTTCCACTTTTCCTCTTTTCTTTCGCCCTCAGGTCACCCAGATCCTCCCTCCTCGTTTCGCCAAGTCAGTGTTACCCATGACTCAGTTACTCTGGAGTGGATCCCTGGCTTCAGTGGAGGTTTGCGGCAAAGATTTCGTATAAGGTGAGGCGCTGAGAAAAGATGTGGGTTTGAGAATGATTCCCCTTCACAGTCAAAAGAATTGTACTTGACAGTGCCTTTTGGTTGACAGATACCGCTGGGATCAGTCAGTCAGTTACCTGTACATGGACGTCTTTCCTCCCAGAGCAACAATGTTCACTGTCACTGGCCTGCAGCCTGTAACCACCTACAACTTCTCTCTCAATGCGCTCAATGCAATGGGAGAGAGTGACTATGCTGACAACAATGCAGTACTGACCATCACCACCAAGGGTCAGTTTGGAGTAACCCCAGCTTGACACTGAAAAGACTCTGCCGCACACCATCTGATAATGGATTTAACAGAAGTTTATTATGATTACATAAGTGGCATGTGAGTTGTTGTCTCTTTCTTTCCTTATAGAGACGCCTGAACTAGAAGAAATCCCAACAGATGACGACTCAGTCTCACAGAGTAAGTCTTTTATCACAACTCTCTGAAAAAAGAAAAGCTCTTAAGGGCAGTTGGAAATTGCTGTTTGCACAGCAGCTAGCTTCATTTGGCTAAATCATGTTAATGTATGCACCTCCAAGGCTGTTAATGTTTGCTCTGCAAGAGTAGCGGTTGTCATGGCACCCACCCATACTTTTTCCCCGCTGCTAGTCTTTAATCAATAAAGACAATTGAGAGAGTGTTTGGGTCTGTCTCAGTCAGTTTTTATCTCCTAGAATTTCCATATTACTTCCTCTTTAACTTTCATTGTTATGCATTGAACTAATGTTTCTAATGTTTTGTGAACTAGGTAAAAGAGGACTTCCAGCATATTTGACTATAGTGCTCACAGTGGTGTTTGGATTCCTCCTGCTGTTGAATTCACTGGGTTGCTTCTTTGGACAGAGGTGGAAAAAGAGGCAAGGCCAGACAGGTAACCATAATCATCTCTTCATCTACGGATGTGCAAGCGTTTCCTTCGTCGCTTTCTGTCATTATAATGTCCTGATTCCTCAACAAAAACTCCAAAACGATTACTCTGAACCATGATGCAATTGTCAGCTCAGCCTCTCACTCTCTCCTCATCTCTCTGTGTCCCTCTTTCTATCCATCTATCCTGTCTCTTCTCCTTCTGCTCACTTCTAAGTCTCTACCTCCCGCCACATTCATCCTTCAAAGCTGTCACTTCTGTGTTTCATCCATATCTTTTATCTCATTTGCTAGCTTTATGTCCTTCCTCTATCCCTCCTTCTGTCTCTTTCTATTTGTTCTTCAGTTTAACTGTCAAGCTCTCCCTCTCAATCGTTTATTTTCCATTCCTCACCTTCCTCTGCCCTCTGGTTTTTACATAGATTTTTCACAGTATACTTGTCTTTCATTCACTCTCACGCTCTGGCCTCTTTATTGCTCTGATCAATTTCAGTGCTTATGAGATGATGCTCCTCTCTACAAGTTCTAATTTCCTAACACTAAGCCTCTTTGCTCGTGTTTCTGTTCCCCCTGCAGGGGGTAGGGCAGGCACTGTGTTGGATGGAAAGGAGAATGAAGACAAGGGGTAAGTTAAGGCCCTGCAGTAGAAGTAATAAATAGACACACATTCAATCCACTCTCAGAAGTCTGAGACCTGATCCATCGGCTGACCCAGACACTAAAACAGCCAGGCAGGCAAAACAAGAAGCTTCTGTCAATATCCATTTGTATTAGTGTCATCAAACTTGCACCACAATCCTGCAATGAACAGGTATACTGAATTTACCACATGATGCATTGCTATTGCAGGTAACAGGTTGCAACATGTGCTGAGTGTTTTTCATCTCTGTGAGTTCATATTGGTGATTAAGAGTTGTTGGGAAACGATTCAAGTAGATGACAAAATCTGATTTCTCCATTTAGGTCCAGTCAGTCAACTGTGAGCAACTCCAACAAGTATGAGAGCAGAGAAAAGATCAACGCCGCAGCCCAGCGCACCCTCCTCATCGAGTCTGGATCTGAAACGGACAGTAATGTCTACGAGAGCTATGCAGCGGTAAGAACGGGAGAGAGGAGGAGGAGGAGGAGGAGGAGGAGGAAAGAGCGGGATGAGGGAAAGAGAAAAAGGCAGTTGAGAAATTAAGCAGAGACACATAAGACACATAGAAGGTTGAGTAAACAGATGGGGGGGGGGCAGAAGAGGAAGTCGAGAATTCAGCCATAAAAGGAAAATGGACAAATAAACTAATGACACCTTTAGCTGTGCACAGATATGGAACATAAATCAATACCTCACAATTAGTATTCAAAATACCCATTGATCTCGGAGAAATTATCATTTTGTACTTTAAAAAGGCCAGCAAGGATTTGAACCTTGAAGAAAACTGATGAGCGAGGTAAAAGAAAACAGATAGCACTGTGCCGTCAGGATGGGGTATAATGAAACCTCAAATCCCCGTGGAGAAAGGCTTTATCTCATCCCTGATTTTAAAGCAGTACATACATGTAAGGGCTGATTCTTCTTAATCACCAAATTATATATTTTCTCATTTACCTGTAGTGGTTTCTAACCTTGAGTGCTGATAGATTTGGTTTGATTTGCCCAGGGTTGAGATATTTGCCTGTAAGATTTCCCACCCAGTATAATGGAGGTGGTCCTCACAGCACTGAAATCAGGAACATGTCATGCTATAAACAACAAACCCCATTAATGGCAAGTCTGTTCACCTGAATGGAACTGAAGAGGCAGAAATCAAGCCCAGATATCTCAGAGATGGGTATATAAAGAAAGATAAATAAAACCAAACCTATCCACATTGGACCCTCCAATAATTCACCGCAAACCACTTTGCTCTGGAGTAAACATGTGGAATTGTTGTTTAACTGAAGTTCCTTCAGGTCAGAGTTGATCTGATGCTATCTCTTCTCTTTGGCTAATTCTAGGAAAGTTCCCATTATTATTACCCCACCGGTGGATACATGCCGCCTCTCAGTCCGCACGCGGAGGAAATACTCAGGCCTGGTGAGATATAAAAATACCTAAGAATAAAGTAAACAATGCAACAGTTATCAGCCAACAGAAAGTGTGACGTCAATTCAATATGGTATTTGAGTATATTAAATCTGAAACATTGTAAAATTATTTCTCCCTATTTAAAGGTTTCTGTGTTTCTGTGTTTTCACGTGCTCTTCAAGGTATCACCCACCTCCCTGTTGACTCTCACAGCCACTTGTATGAAGATGTAAGAGACCGGGGTCTGTACCAGGACATCCAGGCTTCATCTCTTCCTTCCCCTCCGTCCTTTGACCACAGATTACTTCATCAAAGGAGCAGCTCCAGACCACCAACCTTCTTTCAGGTCTGTAAACAAAACCCCCAACCTTTGACGGCGATTCCTGTTTCACAAATTTGTTAATATCACCAATCAGCTGAAAAGTAACTTCAGCTTTATCATGTGTACAATGGTAACTGAGATGAAAACTGTGTCTCAGCAGGGTACTGAGAGAGTGAGGGACTTCGCGGATGTTCGGCAACAGCAGAGAGATTCTGAGCTTCCCTTTGAACTGCGAGGCGAGTTAGTCTAGAATGAGAAGGTCAGACCAAACAAACGCTAAGACAGGGCTTGTGACTCAATGCAAAAAAGTTATTTATTTTATTCCTTTTGAATGGTATCTCCCAAGCCATGTTGAATGAACCTGTCCTGTCCAGGAGTAGAATAGAGCTAGAATTGCGTTTTGAAATTTCAATGTGTATATTGTGAACGTTTTCCTCAAAGGATTGAGTTCACCAATGGTAAAGTACGGCAAACTGAACAAGCCGAACAGAAGCAAAGTAGGATGGCAGAATAATATGACAAAAAAAATGATTTGAAAGACTCAATAACCTCAATAACCTCATGCAATCCAGCTTATTTTCTTCTCCCGCTGCGATCTTACTCCATCCTCCTCCTCCCCGGACCTCGCTTTGTCCTTTCACCTTTAACCTCTTTCTCGGAGCCAAGTCCTGGTCATTACCCACAGCCCCGTCCCTGCTTTGGCCTGCAGTTAGACATGAATCAGTTAGCCAGAGACAAAAAAAAATGGACCGACATCGCTGTGGTTGGCACTGGGGCAGAAGCAGCAAAGATTCATGGCGCAATCCTTTTTGACCTGTCCGACGTCAGCATTTTCTTACGTGCAGCCAGATGAGAACCTGACAACAGTTGCCTGTCCCTCCCCTGTGTGATATAGAGAGTTTCAGACCTCACAGTTAGTCCGTGGGAATCCTTACAATAGGATTGTACTGAGTGGTATTTAGCATGGTTATGTCTTCAGGAGGTAAAGCCATATCTAGGGCCAGACTCTAATCCTGTTTTCTCTCGAATTGAAGTTCAGCTCACAACATCAGTGAGAGGGGGGGAAGCCGTACAGAGAATTTGTTTCACTGACTGTGGGCAGTCAAAGGGAGATAGAGACAGGATGAGAGGGTTAGGCTAAGCTGCAGCTATGGTTACTGCCACAGAAAAAAATCTCCTCTCCTTCTCTTTGGTCTTCATTATTGTTCAAATTGTAGTTCAAGGAAAGCAGTTCACTGTACACTTTTAGTCCACAGCCTATACAATGATAGCAGTCATCATCTTTATTTGTAGAGCACGTTTCACAACCAAAGATGATTTACACAAGGCAACAAATTTAAACTGACAAATAATAAAACCAAAGGTAAAATCTTACAGAATAGACAGCAAATTATATAATACCAATTCCATTAAGATGACATAAATAAAAACACAATTTAAGTAAAGTAAATGAGACTAAGCATTTACAGGGGCTGAATGGGGCATGAATGTCTGTACAAAAGTACATATCAATCTATCCTGTAGTTGTTGAGATATTTCAGGCGAACTAAACTGAAATCAACATAAGCTCTCTGATAAAAGGACTTTCTAAGAAGAGTTTTGAAAACATGTTACAGATTCAGCCAGACTTACAGTATTTATTCAGACATGTTATTATAGAGCCTCAAGGCCATGACTATACAGTCTGTATTTATATATATCTGACCAGTGCATATCTATTGATGATGTGCAATTTTAAACTGCAGACTGATGCTCTCATTCACATGCCAGCTTTAGAACATACAGAATCCTGTTTCTGTATCATGATAACAGCGTTTGTGTTCCCTGTGTATTTGTGTAACTTCATCTTTTTCATGTTTAGTGCGCTGATATTAGAAACTTCCTCAAAGTTTCCATGGTTCTTTTAGCTTCCTGCTATCTGGTAATATACACAAGCAGCAACTGGGCTTTTATTATATCCTTACACAGAGCAGATGTGCATGCACCCTGCTTCTGCTTGCAGCTTCTGCTTTTCCCTCAAGCAAGATTCCTGACATCGCTCTCATGAGTATACACATGCACACACATTAAACTCAGCACTAACAACATCCAGTCCAGTGAGATACACATATAATATTCTTCATTTATTGTTCTATTTATAGAAATATAATAATCATTTTTTTGTTGAACATGTGGTGAGGTGTGAGTTGCCGGACCAAGGTTCACACGCCATCACTCTTTATAGTGTTATTACTGCTTTGGAAATATTTAATTACAGTACATGAAAGGTAATATTAAATTCTGATGAAGTTGTTATGGTCCACGCATTTTATTTCCATCCTACAAAATTCTGTTTCCTCAATGGGGCCTGCCTGCCTGGAGATAAATCTCCATGTTTCACCAAGCTGCGTTCCCTCAGTTAGGCTCACTATTCTCCATCATGAGCTGTCAAGGTATGTTTGTCTCATTACTGAACAATTGTTTAAGTTCCTGTCAAGCTGACCGCCGTGTTCATACCAGAGCCTGTTCATGATGCATCGTTTCAGCTCAGGCAGGAACGGTAATCTGCTAAACTGAAGGCTTGACAGCTCAATACTGTATGTCAACTTCTATTTTTCCTCAATTGCCTCATGAACATTTTGATGTGTTGCGTTCAGAAGAATCTCAAGGGAGCTCGAACACACAGGCTGCATGAGTGTGCAATTATGTCAAAAGAGAAACAAATAAGAGACTTTAATTACCTCAGCTCTAGGAGGGTTTTCACATCTATTTTATTCCTCCACTGAATGTTTTTCTTTTTTTTCTTTAAAAAAAACAAAAAAAAAACAACAAATATGAGATTGAATAATCCTCCTTTATCATTTTAACAGGTTGGGGTATCAGTGGGGAGCTAACTCAAATTTAACTCAAATTTCTGCAAACCCTGTCAATGCTCTCATTATTCAGATTTTTCAATTAGAACTAAACAGAAATCAAATCAAAAGCGACCACAGGTTTTACAAATTAGAACATGATTTTACTGGCAGTTATTATGACTTATTTTGTGGCTCTGATCTCTTGTTGTTTCTAATGAAGATGTAATTTGCCCTCCAATGTGGTTGAAAGAATGCAACTGAATAAACACAACAGTAGTCCATGAAAAAATACAGTGCTTTGTTGTACAAAAAAAAAACAAAAAAAACACAGGTGTTTTTGATGAATGGCCATAGTGTATGTACTGTACCAGACCAAATGAAAAGGGAAGTCAAAATACAAATATATAACAGAAAAGTAAGCATGCTAGTTGCTATGATTGAAGGTGGTGTACGCATTTCCTTTTATCTTTTCTGCTGTTTTTTTTTGCCCAAAATGCTTTTCTTCTTCAATAACCAGTTAAACCTGGATGTATGTTTTAGAATTTCTACCATCGCTTTTTGAATGATTCCACTGCATGTATTTACATCTCAAATGTATTTTCAAACATTTATCTACTCATATATGTAAACCTACATCCATTCACAGAAAATATGTTGTTTGTTAGGGAAAAATACAATGCCAAAATAAATTGTGTCATCATGCAAGTAAATCATTTTAATGCAGAACAAGGTGATAAAATAAATGGAAAAAGAAAATTGTTAAGGATAGAAAATATTACATTTATATATAGATTGTCGTTCCTCTAATCATTTTTGTTTTCAAGCAGATTGTAATTGGTCAGTGATAACTTGTCACAGCACATTTCATACTATAAATGGCTGGAAGCACAAGATAAAAGAGTATTATGCTAGAGGAATCTGCTTCAAATGAGTCAACGCTTTGTTTATATTTTGTGTCTGAAAACTTGAGAAAAACTTACTTAAAGAGGGTCTGGATGCAAACTGTATGGGGGTGTTTATAATAAAGTGTAGAAATGTGATAAACTAAGGACAAGCTGATCCAAAAGCAACCCCGACACTCTGGACAAAGACTGTTCTCTGCGAGTGTGGATGAATTGCTAGCTTTGTCTGCTGTAACAGTCTAGGTTTGTGCCTCTCAGATGGGTAATGCTGTTGGGTGACAATCAAACACACCAATCATGCAGCCTTGAAGCAATAGTTAGTCTAAAAAAGAAAAAACAAAACGTGGATTTAGGTTATGTCACTGCGTAACTGCAGTAAAGTGTGATGAGCATGGAGCTGTTGACTTTCTGTTTTAATATGTCGAAAAGAGATGTGGACTTTTTAATGAGGTTTCATATAAATAGAGTCAGAGTTCTTGGCAGCAAAACAGAAGTTTGAAAAAAAGTTGCTTCTTTAGATGGTTGTTGCAAAGATTTGCATTTTAAAGTAAAGAGTATATTTAACTTTGCAACCACACATTCTGTATACGAGAACATGCTCAATGTCAAGGAAGTGTGTTTGTTCAACGGATGATATTCAGTGAACATATTCAACAATAAAAAAGAAGCCATATAATTAAAATATGCACCAATATGTACTGCATCCTTTGAGTGAATGTAAATATATCAACAATCTCTCATTACAACAGAATAATTCATTTTTTGTCTGTGAGACAGCAGATGGCAGATGGACCTGTGGATAGAAAAGATTGTATAAACATGGAAATAGATAGTCATCCAGACAGGGTGACAGACAAGCAAACACACAGGTACAAAACCACTGTATTGTGGGAAATGAGAGACGACAAGCCGTCACTGCTGAGAGACAGCTGTACTACACACAGAGATCATAGCGGAGTGGGTGAGTGAAAAACTGAAAGCCAGAGAACAAGAAGGAGGAGGCCATGTCATGAGAAAGAGTGGGTGAGCGAAACAGAGTTCAGACAATTGGATGAGGAAGTAGTGATGATGAGTACATGGGTGTGGTTGCTTAGCAGTTACCCCATCAGCCTTTCAGAGGTCACATACACAGAAAAGTATCGTGGATGATGAGGCTGTGGATAAACGTCTGGACTCCGGCACCTCACAGGATGGATACGAAGGTAAGCATAATAGCCTGGATGGATGACTAAATATCAGAGGGGCTGAGGGGTGTTTTGGTGGAGCGGACTGAGAGGAGATTGATGGAGGATGACAGACAAACGGATGAGCGGACAGACAGAGACCGAGTGCGAGTGCTACATGTGACAAACAGCCAGGCAGGTCAGGCTAGGAGGAGGGAAAGACGCCTGTACAGCCCAGGGGAAATAGGCCTCATCTTGACATATGCTCTGGAGTGAAATGTAGATTGGCATGACCTGCTAATCTGAGCTGTCACAGCTCATGACGGCCACAGACACTCACCTGTCACACTGTTCCAAGCCTGGAGGACGAGCTGCCACCAGAATAGGTCAAAGATCGAGATTCATTTTCTGCTGGGGGTGGATTTAAACGAACCACTGGCCTAGAATCCCATCTGTCACCCTACCTGCCTTTGCTTTACCTGCTTGGCAGCTGTTGTTATTTGTATTGCTAAAAGAACCATACAATATTGGGCCGTTTTTTCTGCCTACTTTTGTTTTTCCATAGTGTTTTGTTTCAAGCTTGGATCAATATGTTGTGAGGGGGAGGAAGAAGTATATTTTTCCACCGATTCAGAGAGCGCTGCTCACCGGTATGAAATTTCCACTATATTAAAAAAGAACTGTTTTGACACATCCTCCTATGCAATTTTTTTTAATTGATGACAGTAGCAAAGTTTTTAAAAAAAAAAAAAAAAAAATGGAATGAAGTTTGATCAATTGTGCCACAAAGTTCAAAACACGTGTGGGAGGATAGCTTACACAGTGTGCCTCCCCAATCACTCATTTTTTGACAAATGGAGAAAAAGCCGTAGTTATGATGTGCCTATCTCGTATAGTTTGACATTCAAAGTAAGAATCGGTTTTCTGTCATACTGTGTGAGGAGTGTGGGTGCCTGTGTGCTTGAGGAGGAAGGAGAAGTGGCCATGTGGTGCTAACCTCAATGAGTACATCTTCCTGTGTGGTACATCTGCATTGTACAAAATGTTCTAGAGTGAATTCTGTCTTGCTTTAATCATCTACGCAGATCGTTAAATTTGCCAGTTAGTTTATGTTTGCCTTGTGCTCTTGCCCTGAACAACATCATTATAATGGCTGTAAAGACATTGTATCAATTAACAGTTTCTTTCTGTGTGCTAATGAGTAGATATTTTTTGTCTGGATGTTGTGAATCTGTGCCAATCCTCTACAGCAGATGCACCAGAGTGGCTGCATTAATGTGATCTGTCTTCACTTATGGAGTCACCTGTAATGTCTGAGAGGCTCTGGATTTCTTTGTGCATCTTAGATAAACTGGCTGAGGTTATTTCAATCTTAAAACAGCACGCTGAAAATATAGTTTGTTACTAATTGAGATACAACCTAGTTTACTCTTTCTACATCATCGTTTCACCTCCTTTCCGCATGTGTTTTCTTTTCTTTCAGATCTTATTGGCCTCCATTTTCATGTGTGTCATGTTTAGAGGTGAGTGCACAACGTTGAATTGGCTCACTGAGAGGTCGAATGAGAAGCGGTTTAAAAGAGAGACAATGGAACTTTTGCTGAGGTGGGGACGTTAAGCAGATAGTTAAAGTATTAATGTCACATTTGTGTTGCTTGTGGTGTGGCATCTTCCTGTGGTACACTACATTGTAATGGCCTCATTACTGCCCCCTGAGGCCAGAGGGTGGAAAACACCTACTGGTACTTCACGGTTTTTGAGCAGTGAGCAGTTGTAGTGGGAGTTTTTGCTCCAACGGCCACAAGAAGCAAGAATGAGGCCATTCAACACTCGAAAACAAACTTCGACAAATAGCACAAAGGTGAGAGCTATGCTTTATTGGAACAGTGAGCATGGTTAACTGCCCCACCTCTGTTTAAGTTTAAGTGTCATATAAGCTACAGCAGCTTCCTAGCACTTCTCTATGGGAGATTCCAATTGAAGTGTTTTGCAATAGAAAACTGGGGCTAGCTCTACCCTATAACAAGTAGTGAAGGGTCATGAAGTCAGAAAACTGTCTCAATGTCAGTTACACATCAATATTCGTGCCACAGCAAAGCCTGTGTCTATTGCATTTAGTAAGTGTATTTCATTGCAACATATTGTCTATAAGAGGAAGAATATGTTACTTCTTCTTTCAAAAGTTACATTGTGTCATTTTAAGTTGTACCTGAAAGCGGTGCGCAAGTGATTGAGTACCTCCATGAAGCTGATGGACTGTGAAAGACGGATCAAATGACATAGTCAAAATTGATCCAGCAGAAGCCAAGATATCTTGATTTTTAGTCCACAGTAAGACCCAAGTTAGACCCTAACTGCCTGGTAGATTAAAATGGATATTTTCTAAGACCTGAGCAAAACATTATACCACAGTTTTCACTGAGTAGCACTTCTTGTTATAGTTAAACATATCCTTATATGTAAAGTAGATGGAGGTCCCCTTTAAATGTTGAAGAATTTGCATAAAGGCTTGTCACAAATATTTATAGGTACTATATGTAAGAATGTGAAGCAATTTAATGGCTTTTTTATTGCCAATGTGTGAATGGATTGTAATGTTAATTAAAAAATTAGCCTTCCCCAACAATCTCGGGTTGACTGTAGCAGCCTGTGGACTGATTTCTATGTAAAGGACTTGGGACAATCTTTCCAGGAAAATTCGAAGGATGAGATGTTTGTGACTGAATTCCAACTTTATCTTAGACCAGATAAGGGATAAGCTCTTGAGAGCTCAGGCCATGAGCATGTGACTTTAATACAAACAAAATCAAACAATTAATGTTTTCATGTACACGCAATTTATCTGACATATCAAAACTTACACAAATTTGAGCCAGCAATAAATGTTTTCAAACATTACACCTTTAGTTAAGTCCCCTCGTGTTGGTTCATTAAAGTAGTTAGAATCACAACATTAGCCCAGGAAAGTAGAGGTTTTGTAGAGCTTCAGCATTAATTGGAAGGTGCTGAGTGAGTAAACAGACAATGGCCTTACTGTCCTGTCGTCTTGCACAACAATCCAGCTCTGTTGTAGCCAGAGGTTTTGTAAGAGCCACTTCTTTGTGACTGTGCCGCACTGTCCCACTCACAGGACTATTACTGTGACATACTCTCAGTGCATCTGTAGGCCTCTCTCCCCTGCATGGCCAGACAAATTCTCAAGTCTGGTCTCTCCCAGATACATCACAGCATTGTTTGAGAAAGTCACTGGGATAAACAACACTGTTCTTTGTTCCCCCTGTAAAGTGTACAGTCTCGAGGCCTCGCTATGAGGCTTCATCTGACTCGTGTTTTTTGGTGATTAAAATGTGTCTTTTTTCCCCCCGCAGTGTCAAGAGCTCAGGATCCCACAGTCACAGATCAAATGGTGTCTGCGAGCAGCTCTATGGAAAACTTGAAAACAATGCCCACGGCTCTGACTCCCACTGGTGCTGTACTTATGGCTATTCTGACAAATACCATTTTGTAGTCTTTACAATCTCTAGCCTAATTACTATCCATAATCTATCTATCTATCTATCTATCCATCTATCTATCTATCTATCTATCTATCTATCTATCTATCTATCTATCTGTATCTAATTTCAAAATGTCATATATCTTTCAGCTTCAATTAATTCAGTTGTTTTCCTTGTTTGACAGAAAGGAGAGTGGAAAGCAGAGTTACTAGGGATGTTGTCTCCTCCCCAGAAACGGACCAGCCCACAAACCAGCAAACTGGCACTAGCAACCCAGTGAAAGACATCATCACAACATCAGAAATTAAGACTTCAACAGGTAATCTGATGTGCCGTTAGCACACCTAACACCAATAATTTCAGTTTCACCTGATGTGATTTTTATGGTTCTATCCCTTTAGCTCCCAAAGCGAAAACAGCAGAACCACAAACGACATCCACATCCACTCCAGGTAACCATCTTCACCCTCTCCCTCACTTGTTTAAACACCCAGTTGGTGGAGCCATTGAGTTTGGCTGGTAGATAGACTGTGAGCTCTCCAGTAGGCTATAACATCCCCTCACGCCACTAGCAAAGGCTTACAGAAAGCTTCCCTATCAAGAATGCAGACAGCTTTAAAACTAATTATGAGGTAATTAGAAAAATGTTAAACTCCCTGTCCTTGTTGAGATATACAGAGGAGTATTTCTGTTGCATTTTACAGCACCGGGGAAAGAGACAGAACTAGAGTGAGAGAGACACAGAGAGAGCACTGATATGCTTTTTAAAAGTGTTAGCCTAAATTTCCTCTGAGAATCATCCCGCTGAAATATTCAGAGATTCAATTAAAAATGGAGTTAAACACAGGAATGTACCTGTAATTTAATAGGAAGTAATTATGTATGGACTGTATGGCAAAGATAAGGCTTCAGTTTGTCCCAGAAAAAAGGGGTTCCAATATACGCAATGATGCTGATGCTTTTTACATTATTAAATTGTGTATTATAAATATTAGACTTTATGAATATTAAATACATGGCGGGAAAGGAGCCAGAAAATCAAAAAATGAGAGGAATCTAATGTTTTCACTGTCTTTTTTATTCAGCATCCAGAGTGACATCCTCCGGATCCATAGCTAAGGAAACCACCACAAAAGGCACCCATCAAGTTATTGCCTGGGGTAACTTAAAAATTTCCTGCTCCATAGTTACCTTAAATGCCACAGGCATTGCGGTTTTATTGTTATCTCAGGGCAGACTGACAGTATCACAATTCCCTGTCTTCCAAACAAAACCCTTGGCGGGGTGGTAGAATAGAGCACCTCACTTCCTCTCTTGCCAACAGATTAATGCTTGATTGTACCCTATGCAAGAAGAGATAAGATATTTGTGTCCTCATGCTGTGCTGGCTTACCATAGATAGGGTTTTGATACACCATCAACAGCATGTCAACGGGGCCAGTAGATCTGTCATGCCATCTCTGACTGTTGTTCCCTGGTGATCCTCTCTCTTTTTTTCTTCCTGCAGAGGCTTCCTGTGTTCAACAGTCAAACTTAATTCAGTATTTTTCTTTCTACTTTCACTTCTCATAGATCCGAAGTGGGACAAAGGTTTCACCTACGGTAAGAGGCTTGCCTCGGCTGTGTATTTTCTGTTATTACCTGTGCCTATAGTTGAGTGTTTGACTTGTTTCATATGTCCAGATTATGAGACCCTGCGCAAGGCTGGACTGTCCATTGCAGCATTCCTCTTCATCCTCGGTATAATGGTCATTAGCTGTAAGTATGACACTGAAAGCCACTTTTGTGTTTCGTAATGTCTTGTAAACGACTGTAATTATATCCAACCGCCCTTCTCACTCCTTTGCTTTTCTCTAACTGTAGGTGGCAAGGTCTGTCGGCTGCCCAAGTGTCACAAGAGGTCATCAAAGTAAGTATTTACAGCCATTATATTGAAAGCCAATGAAAGCTGTCAAACAAAAGTGAGTAAATTACAGTCCATTGTGCCTGAACGGTAGCTGTGCTTACATCATGCTGTTAAGAGACCGCAGTTGAATGAGTTAATTAATTTATATCACAGGCTACTGGATGATGTATGGCTTACAATCAGTCACATCAGACATATAGTAGCTCAGCAGAATGCTGACTAAAACCTCTGTGATGATTAATAGATCAAAAGGATTATGATTAAACCATTTGTTGGGCTGCAACAACTGCAAACCCCATTGTTTGTTTTCCTTGCTGTGATATATTTGTGTTTGTTAAATATAATTGATTTCTTATATAGTGTTCTTTAAATGTTGTTTGTATTTATTTTCCAGATCATACCGAGTGGTCCAAGGATAAAGAGAGAGAGAGAGAGAGAGAGAGAGAGAGCATGTACACAGTGTCACAAGGACAGAGCTGCAAGAAACCAGTCAGGAGTCCATCAGGAGGAAAACACTCAACCAACACATGGAAACGTGTGCGTGTGCATGTGGACTGACTGTATGCTGCTTAGTAACAGTGTCATTAAAAAAACACTGAATAAACACAGGAAACATGAATCATGCAGACAAGTGAGAAAAGTGAAGCCATCACCTGCTTAATATTTGTCAGTGTTATTTCTAGACTTTACAGAAGTGCACTAAAAAATTAAAGTGATTATCTTCGCAAATAATGAAAGGATGATTCATATTTTAATCACACCTTAAGCCATGAAGCAGGCTTGTTTCTAATGACCTTTGTATCTTATAACTGATAACACAGCCATAGGCAGTGTCTCACAGCCAGGATTATTATTAAAGGTTATGAAAACTAACCCCTTGGCATCCCATATTTGACCGTCTCGCACAACACCTATGTTGTGTCAGGATCTTGAAATGAAGCTGGGTCACCTCTTCCTCCTGCACACTCTCTCTAAAATTTCAATCTCGGCAAAAGCGTGATATTTAGTGAGGGGTGTCAAAGCCTCTTAGTGGCTCTATGCTTGTAAGTGAGTAAAGTCCTAGATTCAACAACATCCACTAGCGCATTATATTTGCATCCATATGGCGTGAAAATGATGGAAACAACAAACTAGGAAAAACCAAACAAATTTTATAACAGATTTAATGGGAAAAATGAACACAATCCAAAGTTCAGCATAGGTACATAATATAGTATTCAATGTTCTACTTGCTATCAGAACAACCACAGCTGTGCAAACACAATCAATTCTTGATACAGTTCCCAGGTGCAATAGTTTTCTTGTGATATTTTATAAGGTCATGAATTACACACAGTACTGTAAATTATTATATAGAGAAAAACCACCATGAAGGAATGTCCTTAGCAAAAATAATACATATGGGTTAATCTGCATACACAGGTGCATATAAACATACGTATTTAACATTAAGACCAAATTCAAACTTTTTTGCTGAAATATGACACTAAATAATACAATTATTATACTCAAATAATACTCCCATCCACCACAACTTTTATACAAACAATTTATAAATGAACAGTGGAGAGAAGACATTGCCCTTTAATCTCGACAAGTATATAAAAAAGACCAGTTATCCAAAGATATTTTCCATCAAGAGACACAACAGAAATGCATAGCTCAGAAAATTTGTAAATACACACAATATATTATTATATATTACATTAAAAGCTGGAATAATTGCATATGGACACTGTCAGAAAAAGTATAAGCCATTATGAAAAAGCAAAAACCTTTTCCACATACATAAGACTGAGATAGAAACAAAGCTCAGTAGTTACATTTGTTACAGTAGATTTACATGAGTAGTGTCACAGCATAGAGGTGTTACAAGTAAATTACAGAGAATATTTTTTGGTTGCATGTGTGGGGCAGACTGGACTAAATACTGTATTTCTTTTTGGGTTTTTACACAAGTCTCCTTGCTTTCTCCATCTGAGGAAAAGCATTCAAAGAAGAGACTCTGCTACATTCAAATGTTGTTGCGCTGTGGTTTGTTTGATGGAAATGTGAGTAAATGTAAAGGGAATATGAGTAAATATGAAGAGATAGACTACACAAACATAAAAAAAAAAACTGAAATGTTTGATGCTGCAATTTTTGTCCAATTGTCCTGCCTTTGAAATGCTGGCACCTATTTCAGGCTTATTTCGCAATGCTACGCTTTTGAGAAATAACACACTGTACACACAGCTCAAATATGAACAGTAAAACAAATGCACTAACAATAATCACATCTGCCAATCTGCTTGTCATTGTTAAAATAACCTGGGATGCATCCTTTTTAAGGCACTTCGGCACAGACCTGTAGTCACTGCACACTCTGATTAAGATATAACTGCCTGGATTGGAGCCAGTGTTTAACCATTCTCAGCATTGCTGACTCCATAATAAGTGCTCCTCATGAAGCCACAAATGAAAAACTGACATGTCAAAGAGGGATATGTCCCCTTCCCCAGGGAAAGTTCCCCTCTCTGTATCAGAGCAAATAAGGCAACCGGAGCCGTGGGTTCTTGGATAGAAAGCTTTCCTTCACAGAGCATGATTGATTTTCATTTAAATGAAAACAGAGAAGCCATCATGCTTTGTATAAACAAAGGAATAGCTGGTATTTCCCCAATCATGCCCAACACTTTATTTGATTCGTGAGATTTTATCCCTCCCTCACACCCTGCTTCTCTCTACCAGTGTGTGAGGCATTAATCTAACTCTCTGCAACATTCACAGGGCTATTTACAATCTGCACGACTGAAGTGAAAGCCTTTCAAAACGAAAAAGAGAGGTGGAAAAGAAAACATCATCATTCATGGCGGTCGATTAATTTGCTGCCTTGCAAGACGGTGTTCACACTGGCTATTTCCACTTGTTTCTTTTTTTTTTTTTACTGAGGTTGAGAAGAGGGGGAACAGGTTTTTATCTTCCTATTGCACTGCCTCCTGTCACTCCTAATGGGCCGGGAACAGAAGATGTCAGACAAGTGAATAGGAGAACGAAGTGAGCACTGGGCTGGCTTAGTGTGGATTAGCATGGTTTGTCTCACTCAACCACCATTTCACACCGACAGGTCTGTTCCACATACACCAAATCAAATGCAAATACAGTTTCACTGCATAGCTGGTGGGAATCATTTCTTGTTTCAGGTAGGAAAAAAAAAGGGGGGGGGGCTCTGGCTGTGCTAAATTATCCCTTTTAACAAAAGAAGCTTTAAGCCATATTCACTGGCTTTGATTTAGATTCCTCAAATAGAATCCAATTAGAAGGTTTGAATGTGTTCCAAATGTCCCAGGCTAAATTATGTGTATGTGGAGTATAAATGGCTGGGACAAAGACAAACATATACAACAGTTAAAAAAAACACATATTGCATATTCATCAATAGGAGCTTGTGTAGAAGCGAGCAATAAACTGAACGGTGAGAAGCAGGCTGTTGTGCAAAGAAGTCTAACTGTCCTGAGTCAAAGAGTAGGAGATGACACAGCCCGGTGCATTGCTCCTCTCTTTCCTGTGTGTTTTAGAAAGTGCGGCTCCATCAGGAACTAGACGGCCCCTTTCTGGTCCTGCTCTGTAGGCACGGAGTAGACCCTGAAGAGAGAGGGAGGAGGGTGGGAGGGATGCACGTTAAAAACAAAAGTATGTCATCTTTAAGATATTTTTAGGCTCATTCTCAGTTTGTTAGCAGAAAGACACAAGAAGCATCCCTGTGTGTCGGAATTCAGGAAACGGCACGTCTGCCTCATGCTGCAGGGCTCTGACAGGTGCACAGTGACTGCATCGCCTCAAAACACAGCTCATCCCCAGGTGGGACTTATAAAGCTGGCAAGGAACTGTTGATCCAACAAGCCAGAGGTTGCTGTGTGATTAAGCCTCTTTTCAGCAGAGCGATCAGTCAGCACCAAACACTGCCAGAGCTGACTGCAGCCTCGGGAGGCAGCCAGTAATCCCGTGGAGGAATTTAACCCTTGCAGATTGACTTGGGTGTCTGCTCCACAATGGCAGTTCTCTTGCTGCCTGAAGATCTCTGGAGACTAATTTGAACTCTGTAACCTCTCTGACCCAACGTGCAGGTTCATGTAATACTGCACATGAGAACAAAAGAAACTGATTACTCTGCAAAGAGCCTTCCCAGAGCTAACGGTGGCTAAACAAGCAACGTGTAGAGGGTAGGCAAAGTGCAAGGAGAGAACATCGCTCTGTATAACTGGTTTAGGCTGTTCTGCTGTCTGATTGCTGTTGGCAGATTGTTGTCATGACGCCAGGATCATGTTTACAGGCATGTATTATTCCTGAGTAGAGTCACCTCCTCAGACCTAAGTTCATGAGGTAAGCTTTGGAACAGGTTAGGTCCTGTCCCATTCGGTCATACAGACCCAGTGGCACTGTCTTAGGGCTATTGTTGATGGCTAAGATGGAAAGAGTTCAAGGGGGGTGTGTTCAGTGCTGGTAGTGTAGGCCTCAGGCTATAGTACTAATTGCTGTGCAAGTCTAGACGGGTTCAGATGGGTGGATGCTAGTTGCGTTTTGCCACCTGAGTGTTTTTTTTTTCTGGTTTTAATGCTGACGAGTTGGATGAAGTAGGGCAAATTGGCAAGGCAGCAGAAAGGCTGTTACCCACCAAACTGGTTCTGTCACCTCCAGGCTGACTTGGTGTCAAATGGAACATGCATGTCTTAGTAAGACACAGATACAATGTGTGCACTGGCTGTACTGTCTTGTTGAGTGTGAAATAAAGTACAAGTACATAAAAAAAAAGAAAAAAAGACAGCATACTTCAAACCAGACTAAAAGAATGACACAAAAAGGGAAACATTTCCAATCAAATATCAATTTTGTAAGTGAAGAAATTCAACCTTACCCTTGCTGTGGACTGTGCATGCGGCGTCTTACTAACATTATGGCTGCAAGGGGAAAAAAATGGAAAAAAGATCAGAGCTACATAAGAGAAAAGTTCATATTTGCTTAGGTTTTAACAGAATGGCTTTAAAGCAGAGCATTTGTCAACAGTGGGAGTGAAAAATTTCACTGTATCATGTCTGAACAAAACACAGAGTACTTACTGACTATCGCTGCAACTGAAAGAGCCACCACGGCCACAGCTACAACGATAATGATCAGGGTGAGCTGATCTAAAAGACAAAACGTGAAAGGGTGGCTATGAGTGTATTGAACAAGCAGTGGCAAGTGGGTTAAGTTGATACCAGTGTATGATATTATGAATCCTTCATATTCATTGATTTGAATTTTAAGATTTTAGTTGACTGTATTATGCTAAATATGATAAAACATTTTTCTAACCTGACTTTTCTTCTTCACCTGTAGTTTTACCTACAAAGGTCGAACCCTGAGCATGTTTGCTGTGAACATCTGGAAACCCTGCACCTGAACAAGAGAACAAGAGAAGAGTTAACACAAGTTATGCTGATTTCAGGTATACTGTATAATTCAACCCCCAAATCTACAATACCACCACAGGTCTGATCAAGAGTTACATTTCTAAACAAATGGTTAAAGGTTTCAATAGAGGAGTAAAAGTCATTAAAGGAATAGTTCTACAATTTAGGAAATATGATTATCTGTTTTCTTGCTGAGAGAAAGATGAGAAGATTGATTCATTCTTGTGTCTGTAAAATAACTTAAGTTTAGCATAAAGACTGGAACCAGAGGAAGACAGCTATCCTGACTCTGTCCACAGGTAACAAAGGCCACCAACCAACACCTCAGCTCATTAATGAACACACTTGTTTGTTTAATCTCTACAAGAACCAATGTTTGCCTGGCCTAGAACAGTCTGGTACAAAAACCACTGTAAAACCACAATTTGTGTGTTTTTTTTT